ATATATATATATATATTAGATTTTTTTTATATTAGCTTTTGGTGCTTTGTCCTACCTGTTTTAACGTACTGAATACTCAGTACGTTCCCAAAACTTGCGACAAAAATTCGCAAGTGATTCGGTTGGAATCAAACCCACGACCTTCACGACGTCGAAATAGCATTGCACTAGGCCTACCCGCTGCTTTTGGGATCGGATTTAACACTAGTCTCTAAGGGCAAGCAGGGTGGTCTATGTGGTTATGACACCATGCAGGTTATCTGGAGGTCATGGGTTCGATTCCCACCCGCATCACCTGCGAATTGTCTTCGCAAGATACAGTTTTGGGGTTTTTGGGAACGTTACTGAGTACGGTATTCAGTAAGATCGTCAGGTAGGGAAAAACATCAAACACATCGACATAAAAAAAGCAGTGGTACTACCAAGGTCCTGAACTGAACCTGAGATACTGTAGTTATCTCAGACTGAACCCAGAAACAGAATGTTGATGTTTGCTGAATCTGGTTTGTTTGTTTTCTCAACAGCTTCAGTATAACGGTGAGGGCAGCCTTCTGACTAATATTACTGGCGGTGAATTCAATTGTTCTGGATTGTCAGATAGTGTTAGTGACGTCAATCGCATCGACCAGAACGCCATCATACTTGATAACTTTTCGTTATTCATGAGTGTAATGTATAATGACGTCATAAAATTACATGCTTGCACTGATAAACCTGAAGCTTATGCTGTTTGTCAAAGTGTATGATCATCATTTTTATAGTAATGTTAACGATATAATATTATACTTATTATATTACATTATATTATATTAGGCATTATAAATTAAATTTCTATTTTGAATTGTCTTTATGTAAGTCAATTTAATACTTTTAAGACTTGTTATGAGGATTGTATGTTATTATTATTATTATTATTATTATTATTATTATTATTATTATTATTATTATTATTATTATTATGTTGTAATGATGTTGTTTGTACTGTTCTTTAATTTTATTAAAGAGGGCCCTGAATATCAGTAACATACTGGGCTAAACTGGAAGGGTTACCCTTTTTAAAGATGGTTGAAATAAAATAAATAAAATAAGGCCAAAAAAATTGTTTGTTTGCCCTATTCCACCCGCCCATAACTTACTAAAAAAATAGGGGCGAAAAAACAAAAAAACTTTAAAAAAGTTTTTTTTTTGGCTTATTTCTTTACAAATTAAAAAAAAAATGTGAGTGAATTCATCTTTATTTTTTGCCAGATGCCCTACAAATTAGTCTAAAGTTGTTGTCTGATGTCAGACATTGCCATTCTAGGTTTCTGTGGGTTATTTTTATTCCATCTGATGAGTATTTAAGAAAAAATAAATAAATAGATAAACTTTGTCCACCCACCCCTATTTATCTTCTTTTTTTTTAAAAGAAGAGCAAACAAACAATTTATTTTATTTGGCCTAATAATGATAAAGATAATAATCAACATTAGTATTAACATGGTACCATCGTACCGCCAGAGAAAATCTCCAGTCGATTTGTAAATACTCAACATCATCATCGCTCTCGCAATCTCTCCGTAAACACTGTTACAAGTTTAGAGAGAAAATCGGAAAAGAGTACCTTCTATATAAGAAGAAAATATGTAAACCGATTTTACGGTTATTTATCAACGTCATAATGTTTATGTATGGTCATAATATTAGAGACTACTTTAATAAAGTGTATAAATAATCATGCTCCAACGAACCAATAAATATTTATTTGTTTAATAAGTGTGTGAGCATTTTTTTTTCTCAAATGCAATCTCAATTATTATTATATATAAATATTTACAATTGTTGAAACTATTTAAATGATTTAAAATAATACATTTTGGGAATTCCGTCCAAAACTTTCCATTACCTTTCGGATACTCTACCAATTGAGCTATGAAGCCAAATGGTATGACAGATAGTCCATCGTTAAATATTCATTTTGTTTTATTATTTTTCTTTGGTTCTTCTATAAATTCTTGTGTTATTGCATCGCGCAACTTGAAATAATCCTCTTTACAGTTATGAATTTGAGCTGATACGCGAACCCAGAATCGACCATCAAACGCCGTGCACGCACAGTGTATCGCGTACTTCTTATAAATTTTTCCCATTAGTTTCTTTGATCCCTGGTAGGTTGCTGGTATGCCTACATCATTGACGTCAGCTGGAAGCATTACTAACGACATAAAGGGCGCCCTCAAGCTACGAGGAACTGGAAGATGTTTTGTTTTCCATGCATTTGCGAGCATCTCAACTGCCCAATCTACTAAATTCGTATTATGCTGGGTTATAACATCCTAAAAGAAAAAAAAAGTAAAAAATATTAGACAAGTTTCGTAGCTGTAATCGTAATCAATATTTCCCAGTCCAATGTCCATCGCTGCTCTCCTTGTGTTAGCTGACCATAAAGGACCCCACCACTGGAAATAAATCAGGACTTTCGTGGGTATCCTTGGTAAGTATATCACACCAAAGTAATCCAATCCAATGCCACCCAATTAATGTCAAATCTAGAACCAAAGTTAAGCAATTTGCTTCACTTCTCCATTCAAGACAAAGTTTCAATATCCACTCGGATTCCGATTTTTTTTTTTCTGTTCATGATTAATGAGAATACTTGAATCTTACCAGTCCACCAATCTCCTCTAAAAACTCAATTGCGGCCGATGCAATACACATTGACGTGCAATCTCTAGTCGACTGACGCACAAAACGATCACGTAAACGCGGATGAAAGTGCAAATACGCCGTCACAAGCGGATTGATGACGTCAGAGTGTTTTGGGTCAACGTGAAGTAAAGCACAACCACGTGTTGTAAAACACCATTTGTGAAGGTCACCTGTGGAAAAAAAAAATCAAAGGCATTTTTTAATTTGAACAAATTCAATTTGAACAAACAAAAGAAAACGCGTTTTAAAAGAAATTGAAAATAATATGAGGGTTACATGTTTAATTTAGGTCAATCTGTAGATTGTGTCGTCGGCCGGAAAACTCAAATTCAATAGCTGCTGAGTCCTATGCAATTAATTTTATTTCATGCGTACAATTTATTTTTACAGAAAATTAATTGATGTTTTACAGAAGTAAAAGTGAACTATAGATCCATAAATTTCAAATCAATGCATTTCGGAGTTACTGACCTTATGGTAGGCTGAACTCATTATGGTAGGCTGATTTAACTGAAAAGCCTTAGGCCTACACAAGGTCAATTGGACCCGCAAAGCTGAACCAAATGCAACTTATCAAATCAAATAACTTTATTACCTTGATGATAAATAAGTGGGCAGTAAAAAGAATAATTAAAAGACAGTCGAAAGAATTGAAGAGAGTAAATACTCCAGAAGAAATACAAAAGCTATTTATTGAATCAGGCCTCACTAGAGACAGGATGAAGATGTAAAAAAAAATTAAAGTGGCAGTAGAGAAGTAGATTTCCTTCATTTAGATAAAAAAAAAATGGACTTCTCTACTGGCTAAAAGAGATCTATATTGCTTATATGTATTGCAAAAAATAAATAAATAAAAAATATGCGGCCGGCCCGGAACGGATTCGGAAAACTTCCTCTTGGCAAAACTCTGGACAAAACCTCATTAGGAGGTGCAAAAGGAATATGCATCTGGTATCTCTTTGGAATTAACGTGGGTATATATTCTCACCTAGACAAGGTAACGGTATTTGACACTTTTGTGAAGAGGCACAGATCCAGAAACTATTTTGGCCATGTACTTCGAATGAACTGTAGCTACTTTTAAAAGCCCTTGGTGTGGCAATAGGATAAAGCTACCGGAAAGTGGTTGAGAATTAACAAGCTTAGCACTGTATTAAGGCTGGTTTCCATAGAAATCGCTACACACGCTATGGCCTAGTCTGCTGGCTACGCTGACCATCAGCGGAATCAGGGAGCATTTGCGAATGCGTCAGGCACAGCAGCTGCGCAGAGCAAGGATTGTAGTTAAACCCTGTAGCGACTGTATGGAAATTGAGGCTTGAGCTGGTATACCCGTATAAAAATCGGCTCCAATTTGATCTAACTGCAGTTGAACCTGCCCAGGAGCATGCGCACCGTCCACCATCACCATCACCCCTCTTTGATGACATACTGGTATCATATCTTCTATCGGCATTAGAATGGCAGACACACTGATTATATGGTCCAATATCACCATTTTGATGTCTTTATTAGCATCAAGGGTCTCTTCCAACTGATAAACAAGCTGTTCTTTATTCTCAATCGGGAATCGGATGTCCATTGTTACTATCTCAATTTCTTTAAAAAAATAAACACAAAAATTACACATTATTGTTTTGTATATAATTTTATGGTAAGATATCTGCAAAAATACGAAAAACGATTCATGCTTAGTGGCGGATTGGTCTATTGTAATCGGTCGCGGACCGATGTGCACTTTGATGGAATTTTTTTTTTTTTTTTTTTTTAGGAAAATGGTTTAACTGAACAAAACACACTGTAACTGCATCCATACAAATAAATTATAGACTGTTCAATGTATTAAAAAAAAAAAGAAAAATTACATTAAAATTCTAATCTTAAGGTGTCATTTCCCGCCATCTAGAGATGCCATATTCATAAAATGTCTCAGCCCCAACCATGGTGGGTCTGAGGTGGTCTACACCCTCGCTCTACCCCTCTATTAGGAATTCCTTGATCATCACTGATGATCATGCAGTGAGACCATGATAACCACGATTTATCAGGTGATGTTACCTTCATTCTTCTTATTCATAAATGTCAAGGTGTTCTTGACTGCTTCAAACGTTTGATTTGTTATGAGTATCTTGTCGCCTGGCAACCATTGAAGCGATTTTAGTACAGTATTGACACCTGGAATAAAATAACTTTATTAGAAATACGAAAGAATAAAAAGGGGCATATTTGATATTAATATTCAGATCAATTCATTTTTTGGTCTAACACAACAGCATCCTCATCCATAGTTGAGGGGAGGGGTAAGATCTGTCGTTGCCCGACAGGGGGAGGTCTCCAGGCTTATCAGACGGGTAAGGAGAGGACTCTTCAGATTTTCACGCACGTCACTCACGAAATCAACAATCCAGTTGAAACAACAATGATTAGATTAAATAGCTAATTCCAAGCATGTCAATGATAGATTAAAATCAAAATGTTCTCCATACGGTTTGTTCAAAACAGTCGATTTTTTCTGGAGCTTTTCATTTCCTGGACTCAGTCGCTTGCAATCTTGTGGTCCTAGTTAATCGTTTGTAACCTGAGCTCTTAAAGTAATTATTGCTCGTTTTGCTCGGGACGTATGAAAAGGATAAACATTCTTTCGAAGTGGTCTTCAGACATCAGAGCCGTGGGTCTCTGCCTTCTTCTAAAGATCTCACTGATCTTTGAAAAATATATGTTTATCTTTTTCGCAATACACTGTCTTGATTTGTTCATTGGTTTGTGTCATAATTCCTCTTTGTTCAGATATATCATTCTTAATCTGTGTGATGATTTTTTGGGCGAACTTAGCAGGTACAGGGTATTATCTCTTTTGTGAATAGGCCTATATGTTGTGCCTAATGTTTTCTTGAGTTATACCATGGTTATACCGGTAAGAATGATGTCCTGCGAGATCAAACTCATTTTGGTCCGCTGTGAACATTTGCTAATATTTGCATGTGTTACCGGCATGACAGCGATGAAAGTTTTATCAACTCAAACGCTAAGCTAGGCCATTGAGGTAGGCCTATTTCTTTATTTTTAAATGATCATAGATTTCGGGAACTTTTTTAACTTTCATTCATTACTAAGCCCCAGAAAGAAAGGGAGCAATATGTTCCTACTATAGAGTAATGTTAATTTAGTAAAAGTTCGATGTTTTCAGTCTATATATTGTACTACGTATTTTCATGACAATTAAGTATACCCTGTCATGTTATCTGTATGAAACCTGATGGTACTATGGATTACTATTGTACATAATTCCCGTTAATAATCATATTAAAGTGTTTTTTTAGGGGGGGGGAGGGGAGAGGGGAAAACCGAAACTATTAAATCAGAAATACCGAGATGAGTTTCAGGTGGATAATTATTATTGATTACTTCAGTAAAAGAGTAATAATAATTATATACCGCTTAGTTAGCCTGGTCGGCCCCTTAGGCCTGTCAGGAAAAATTTATAAATAAGCATAAATTACTTTCCTCCACGTTCCACGGGAGAAACAGTCATACCATACGGGTAGCAGACGCGTCACAAGCGGCCAGACCGATGGACCAATTTTATTCAAGGGGAGACCTATTTCAGCGGCCAAAAGTAGTCCGGCGGACAGACTTTGGCGGCCAAAATCTGTCCGCCGGACCTTTTTGGGGCCGGACCAATTTTGGCGTGACAGGCCCCTCGCAACCTAGTTCGGTACTGTTGGTGTAACTGGCAACTACAATCTTTTAGGTTTTCGATGTCTAACTTAAATGATTACGCGGTAGCTTATATCTGTCCACCATGCATACCAGTTTTCATCATTATTTTTTTCATTAATAATGTGCTTTACCCGGTTCCGCATGTAACCCCCTCGCCCTCTCAACGCTTTGACTCTTTCAAATCCTCGTAATTGTTGTGAATGTTGTTCAGCATCCATTCCTAAGGATTATGGATCCTATTGTGCCTACCTGTTGTTACGTTTTCTACTAAGACGAGATTTTCTTTGTCTGATCCCACGAACTCAGCTACTTTGTCCGTTGCATTTGAGTATAGATCCTCTACTCGATATCTGTACCAACCTTCAGGGTCACTCTCTTGCTCCAATTGATAGCTGTTAGCGATTCAAACGAAATATCGATCTTTAACACATTCTTAATTACTCATTATTATTCAAACATGCAAACTAGGCCTATATTGTTGTTACTCGACTGTTAAAAACAAATATAATGATAATTATGATAATAATTTTAAGTTATTAACTATACTGATAATGATAATTAAAATACTGATGATGACATAATTATTCAATACAATTAAAAAATTGAATTCCGACACGATGGCTTGCATTTCAATACTTGGAGTATGTACTATACTTATCTGAGATTAATCACCTTTTCGGATAATTAATAATAATAATAATAATAATAATAATAATAATAATAATAATAATAAATAATAAATAATAATAAATAATAATAATAATAACTTGTTAGTAAAACCTCTTCCCCATTTTCAGTTAAACTTTAATGATTATTTGTATTATAAATTTTTCATAAATTATGGTCAATAATAATAATAATAATAATAATAATAATAATTAATAATAATAATAATAATATGATGCTCCTCGTTCTGAACTTACCTTCTCTGAGTTTCAATAACCTTCCTTGGGGCTCCTCCAAACCCTCCATGATTACAGAACGTTACCGAATCGGTTAACATAAAGTCCAGTTTCTTACATTTTTTACCAAATACCATCATGTCCACCGGTCGAGATAAAAGCTGTGAAAATGAATACTAAAACAATAATACTAGGCCTACTGCAATACTGTAATTGTAATGTAAATCGTTATTTGTAAGCAGCTATTCACTGACTACACCCGCTGGCAGTTTCTGATAATTGTAAATCTAGTTAAGAACCGGCCAAGGACATATTAATAGAGAAATATTTGCGTTTATTTCGATTTTTTTTTTGAGGGTCAGTCAGTTGGACAATTAATGCCAGATACGAATAGATTACTGAAAGTGCATCATGATATAAACATGACTTGTGTTACGCTGAATAACAAAAAACGAGACTTTGCTAAATTGTATGTCGATATTCTATACAAAATACCAGTACCATTATTTTATCAAGTAAATTGTGACTAAGTAAATAAATGAAATTATATCTATTCTATATCTATCCATTCTTGCACGCGTATACGTCATATCTTTATCATTAAAATATTACATGAGTTCTAACTAATAAAAACACGCTGATGAAGTTAATATTGATATTAATAATGATTTAACAAATATCAATAGGCTTTCAAATATGTTATGATAATTGCAATGTAATGATAATAATAATTAATAAACTCCAGCGACAAAAACAAAAACAGTAATAAAGAGATTTCCGAAAAAAAAAAAAACACACTGTCTCACCATTTGAGCATGTACACTCCTCACAGTCACTCATCCAGAATGTTTCTCCCTCCTTTAAAACAAAACAAAATTTAATTGATTCAACAAGATATAGTAGCTTTTACTCCCTGAACTTATTTTACTTGGATTATATGCTTTACACCTGATAAAGGAATATGGCTGAAAAGGTTTGTGTCATCTTCATTAATAAAATCTGCCAAATTTATACCTTGTTCCCGAGTGTTTGATTTATCTACACTTTGCCAAGCAGCTACTTCTTATTTTTATGTTAAAATATATGTAAGTCTTATATAGCGAATAATACAATAATATTACTTACTTTTTTTAATGGTTTCTTTGTCATTGCTTCGGAATCTTTCACAATCCTTTTTCAAAATATTTACAAGGTTTGTGTACCCATATTTAGCCAAGATTTCATTGAATATTTGGAAGGATTTAGGGCCACAAGATGTGATGAGATCGACCAGACGATTAAGACGAGCCTTGCGTCCGCTTTCCCGCTCGATGTCTTTGAAGAGAATTGGAGTTAACACTTCCAATTGCTTAAGTTCCAAAATCACCTGCTCGGTTCTAATATCCTCTACCAGACGAGTTTTGTTTAACAAAAGTGATTTGCGCTCTGCCTTTTCCATTTTCTAAGAAAAAATGAATGTTATTGCCTTGTTTAAGTAATTGAGTACAATAATGGAAAAATGTAATTTATACAAATATAAAAAGCATATGGTTGCTTTATACCCTGATTACCTGTGAAATCTTGATCCTATCAATAGTTAAACCAACATTTCTTTAAAAAAAAAAAGCCGTTGCGTTTGACTTTCTCGGTTTCTATATCAATCATAATGTGTGGGCAGAAGAAGGCTCATCGATCCTATCTAATACATATTGAATACATATTGTTAAATGAGATTATAGATCTGCTTCGATGCCCTTCACCATGACAACAATAACACGAAAAACAATGGGGAGTATGCGCAATGGGACCCCTTTGAAACAATCATTATTAGATATGAAATTCCTTATGCAATCTGTTTGTCAGTCTCTCACAATACTACAATCCTACAATCATTGAGGTAATAAAGTATAGAAAACCCAGATCACGTTATGTGACTTACACACACGTACACGCAAGTCTTAGCTCTTTGTGAGATAAACTCTCACTTGAGATTCAAATCACTTGAATCATTTGTCATTTAACCGAAAACAAATGGTATTAAATAGGAATTTGAAGAAATGTTGATTGTAAATGATTGAAATGCGTATTACTAAAGTTCAATTATATTTTCATAAATCAACTAATAATTTATTAGCTGTTTACAAAATACATACCGTAACGATGATGATTATGTCATTTACTATCACCAATTATATTAAATGAAAGTCCTTTTCTCTGATTTTCTCTGAAGCCGTTAACTACATTTTCGATTGCGATCTTGCCACAACTCTTAGTTCGTAGGCTTAAGGAAGGCAATTTCAGTTCCCTTCGGCAGATTTGATAATACAGTATTACCTTATTATCTTCCGCGATTTTTGTCATTAGGCTCTTTATGAGAATAGGCCTAGGCCTATTATTACTGAAACAAGAAAATAAAAGTACAGTATTTGTTAGCCGACAATATATACATAATGTGTAAAACCGGATGTAGTTGTATATATGTGTACATGTATGTATATATGTGTATATGTATGTATGTATTTAGGCTTATGTGTATATGTATGTGTGGGTGTGTATATGTATGTGTGGGTGTGTATATGTAGGTGTGTATGTGTATATGTGTGTATATATATGTATGTGTATATGTGTGTATATATATGTATGTATATATGTATATATATGTATGTATATATATATATGTATATATGTATATACATGTATATGTACGCCTATATATATGTATGTATGTATATATATATACATATATACATATACGTATATACATATATATGTATATATAATATAAATCAAGATAGCCGTTAACAATTAATAACCTTATCAATTTGTATCTGTACCGAAATCCAGCCATTTCATGTTTTTTCAATATTTTGCCTTTTAAAATTTTAGACATCAAATAATTCAAGCAGACTTGAACATATAAAATTTAAATTTAATATTACAGTATATACCGAGTACACTTATATGACATCGTTCTGTTCATTTGCAAAAACATGTTCATATTGTGCAAATGTAATTTAAAACCGAGACTAGTTAATTTGACGGTAAACAACGTCACACGGGCCGTAATTTTGTCCATAACAGGGTTTTATACAAGATGATTATCACGGACGAAAGTAGTTCTGAATAGTGAAGCGAAGCCTGAAAACGTCTCCAGCATTGATTTATACAGTAACATTGCAGAATAACACAGCGACGTATTTTATGTCGGACTTCGTAATAATCATCCCACCTTGTAATAACAGAGCTGTTGCACTTTTTAACAACGAAGCTGTCGCACTTGGTAATAAATTGAGCTGCCGTATTTTCTTTATTCAATTTTCTCTGCCTTTGAAATTTTAATACATAAATTGATTGAAATGTCAGGCAGACTGGAACCAGCAGACACTGCACAAAGTACATAGTCACACTTTGTAATAACTTGTTTTATTTTACATTTATTTATGTTTTTGTTTTTGATAGATAAAATTAGTTTATACAAATATTAAACAATGTAGATGCTGGGAGATATAGGTGGGTGCATGACACTTTAAGGTCAAAGGTCACATGCGGCATAAAAATATGTTTTTGTTTTTTAATTAAAAATTAACCTGGAGGCTTTTTTCTAGATGGGTTATGCTTATGCTACAAGCTGAAGGTCATATGCAAGTTTTACTATTAAATGGTTTATGATTTTGTACAGAATGAATTGCCAAAACAGTACTTAACACAAAATAAGGACAGGGAATATTTAAAAGTATTCATAGCATATTTACTACTTTATTCTGATCTGCATACTATACAAAAGTATAGTGGATGATTTTCAATGCAATACTGACAAAAACAAGTAGAGGTAAACAAATGAATTCGTATAGTAGGCCTAAGATATCAAAAAGTGTATGAAGCTGCATATACGGTGTATGGACAAACACACTAACATCAATATGTACCAAGATATAATTTAAAGAATAAGAACAGTTTTGGCGACAAAACACAATAGAACAAATAAAAGGTAGAAAGTGTATGCCATATTTATTCAAATAAATGACCCGATGCATGTACTATAGCAAAGGCTTATTCGAGGGAGCTGTTTATTTTTTATTTATTGGTGTAAAATGGATACTGATATACTCAAATGCTTTAACACATTATTAATGTTTGTGATCATAAAGATTGATCACAACCAAGTTAGAAAAATTCTACTCGAGTAAAACATTAATAGAATGTGTTGAGAATGATGCTGCTTCCATTATATTTGTGTAGTCATTTGGGAGAGTGCGGGGGGGGGGGGTTATTAAATAAATATGGTAGAAATTGTCAGTATTGATTTTTTAAGTAATGCTAACCAACCCAAAACCTGTGTACATGACATAATTTTTAATTTTAAGTCAAAAAAGTCTGGGTTATGATGGATTTTCAAATGGAAGAGATACTGGTCCCAATATATTTGTAATACAGTATCCCACTTGAATGTTTTGCAATCTAATGTAGGTTTTCAAAAGCAATTCTGATATTTAAAAATGTGATCATTCTCAAATGATCAACTTTAGACCAATTTCTCTCATAACACTTTTTCCATGGTCTTAGAAACAATTATCTATACAATTTCCACATTCTGGATTGAAGCAAAAAATTATCATTAAATCTGCTTAAAACAAATTTTATGTTATTTAGGCTAGACGTGTAGTCATTTGGGAGAGTGCGGGGGGGGGGGGTTATTAAATAAATATGGTAGAAATTGTCAGTATTGATTTTTTAAGTAATGCTAACCAACCCAAAACCTGTGTACATGACATAATTTTTAATTTTAAGTCAAAAAAGTCTGGGTTATGATGGATTTTCAAATGGAAGAGATACTGGTCCCAATATATTTGTAATACAGTATCCCACTTGAATGTTTTGCAATCTAATGTAGGTTTTCAAAAGCAATTCTGATATTTAAAAATGTGATCATTCTCAAATGATCAACTTTAGACCAATTTCTCTCATAACACTTTTTCCATGGTCTTAGAAACAATTATCTATACAATTTCCACATTCTGGATTGAAGCAAAAAATTATCATTAAATCTGCTTAAAACAAATTTTATGTTATTTAGGCTAGACTCTTTATTCCTTGTTTCGCATACTTATTTTTTTTAAGATTATCAGAGGAGGGCGGAATAGAAATAAAAATAAAATTTTGTTTTCTTATTTAGCAAATAGATTTGCCAAAATCATCCAGACGGTGGAAAAAATAAAAATAACATTTTATTGGTGAATGTAAATTAGGATGGTTAAATACTTCAAATTTATATAATTAGGAAGAAATATACATCTTACCTTTGGAGATTTCAAAGCAGTGGAATAAAAATAAAGAAAAACTTTTATTTTTTTTTCTTAAATTTCCACTTTTTCGTGGCAGCGGGTGTGCTAATTGGCAAAAAATAAAATTTTATGTTTATTCGAAATCATCAATATTTGCAGTCGGTGGGTTCGCTAAACAAGGTATAAAAATAGTCTCGCCTTAACAATACAGTACTATATGAAGGCTCCTAGGTCAAATTACTTCTAATCATGTTAAATTGATCATATTAAAAATGCCATAAAATGGTTTATGGATGGAAACCCAATAAAATGTAATTGTGGGTTGAATAAAATTTCTTTCGATCAAATCGCCTGAGTTGGTATTTTATTTTTTTCCATAAAGGATTATTCTCAAGATGGTTACATTATCTACTCTCTTATATGTCTCTAATCTTCCCAATTTGGCAAATTACATAAAAAGCCAGAGCTCCCAAACCCCAAATAGGATCTTTTCCCCTGGACCCTGCTTTATGCCGCTGCCTGCCCCAATCATGGGGCCCTGGGGTCCAGGACTTGGCTGGCGGAATGTTTTTCAAAGTGATGGGGGCCCCCACTAGCATTTCTTTCCGATCATACAAAAATCTGCATAGACATATATTTCTTGCCAAAAAGTGGGGGCCCTGCGCCCCCAGCCATGCAGGACCACTCTTGGCGGCCCAGCCCTCCAGCATCTGCGAACCCACAGAACCTCCAGCATGTGAGCATCCTATAACATGAATATCATGTTAAATCTAAGCAAAACCATTATTTCGCCACAAACTGTCATCTTGGATGTACATGTAATTCATAATGTTGCATTTTTTAAGTAGTTTACAATGCATGAACTTTGGTTAAATTTCCTATTAAGTTCTTTCCATGAATCTAATTGGATCTTCTGAAGACTTTCTAATTCTTTTATAAATTCTTTTTCCCTGGCAAGCAGATCACCATGAACCTACAAAAACAAAAACAGGTAAATAAATAACAATAAACTTCTATTTTTATTATGTTCATTACAAATACTGTACTAGCAACAAGCAACTACAAATTGCTCACACATAAAGCTGAAAAGAACGAGTTGTTGGTTAAAAATGAAACAGATACTATCATGTTCAAGTTTTTCACTGGATACAAAAAAAAATATAATTACTATATTCACTGAATACAATAAATACTTTCATAGGCAGAATTCAGCCGGCTGCCCACCCCACCCCCCTCCCCTCGAAAAAAAAAAACCAAAAAAAAAAAAAACAAGAAAAATGGAGGAAACAAGAATATTACATTCAAATTTAGCCCGAGAGTGTGATTTCTGCCCTTTTAGAAGTGCATTGAAAAAAAAAATAGTACATCAGCCACAACCATCGTTGGGGCTGAGGTAGTTTAGACCTTCCATCAGTTATAATTGCTTTTCTGGGCCTCTCTATTCCAAATTCCTGGATACAGATTGCCTTTCTGGGCCTTCTATTGGAAATAGTCGATCCAAATTGTCTTTCTGAGCCCTTTATTCCGACTTCCTAGATCCAAATTCCCATTCCTCTATTTAAAAATTCCTGGATCGGCCACTGACAATACTCACTTTCAGAAAAAGACCAATATAAGCCTGTCCTAATTCATAGTCCCTTTTTCCAAGCATTGTGGACTCCAGGAAACGAATGAAGGACGTCATGATATAAAAAGAGCCTCCACCAATAGGTGACAAAGAACGAATTTGTTTGTCAATAGCCGATGGTCCAAGTTCTTTCATGTACACCATCACATTATGATCTGAAATCAAGTACACGCTGACGTTAACTATAATGGTGGTAAAGTTTTTTACTATAACAAGTTTGTTGGCAATACTGAAAATGCAATAATGACTGGTCCCATATTTTCATAATTTTACAAGTACAAACCATACTACATGCTAGGCCATCAACAGTGTATGAACTCTTTTATGATAATCTGAGAAAGGGTGATCTCAGAATGCAATCCTCATTGTGGTACAATTTATTATTAATGACATTATTAATGAATGTTTACTTGACATATTCGTCGGGTATACTTACAATCTCCGCTGGCAGTAGCTGCTGATAAACACTTACACAACTCAGATGTTTCTGTTAGTGCGTCAATTTGAAGAATTCTTGAAGCCTATCAAACAACCAAAATACTTATTTTGTAAAACTATATATTAAATTGCATAAAAATTTACCTAATGTTTTTTTTAAAAACATTAACCAATCATATTTTAATGGAGAACTATAATATTTCTCCAACAGAATAAAAGTAGTATAATTAATACCAAATTTTCTTGTTAATGAAATTACAAATAAGCAAATTTGTTATCAATAGTGCTTCCAGGATTTGAACTAGTGAATGTTGTGTGAGTATACTATATTTGTTTGTTTGTTTTATTGTTTTACCACACAAGAACATTTAAAATATAACTTAAAGGTAAACATTAAAATCAAATTTTCAAAATGAAAATCAGAGAAAACAAGTTTGTGGAAGGAGGCTGAAATAAGTTTCTAAAACAAATAATTCATGAATATCAGTTAAAATAAACACATCAAAACTGCATTCAATTTAAAACCCCCACCAACAAAATAAATAAATAAATAAAAAATAAAATAAAATAAAGGTTATGCACATTACCAGGAGACGATAATGATGAGTGAGGAGTTTAAAATCAGCGATTTTTGATGCAGTGGGAAACAATGAGTGGGAAAGGGTGTCACCCCCTAATTTTTTTTTCACAATTCAAATAATGAACAAGTTAAAATTAACAAAAAGGAAAATACAGCACCATTAAAAGAAACACTGTGATTGCCATTAAATTAAACATGATCAGAAGACTTAGATTACCATTGTAATGTCATTATCAGGAGAAAGACTATACACTACCAAGAAATATTCATTAATTTGAATATCAATTACAACATCTCACCTCTGAATTATCTTCTGATTTTGTTGCTGCAAATTTCAACTCCAAGCCAGGGATTGTCGGCAAGAAGAATGGCACTTTCGATAATTTTGGTGGTTCTGTTGGCTTGTTCCGTTTCTGTTAGAAAGCCAACAAATTTATATTGCTATATTTTTATTTCATTCATTTTGTCAAAGTAAAAACAGCCTATCCAAAAAATTGAAAAAACTAAAATATACAGCACTATATACAGCATTACATTGACTAATATCAAAGATCTTATAAACACAAGAACAAATTAACTTAGTAACGAACTTTGGCGTAAGGCGAACACCCTATCTCAGATCCATGGCAACGACTAGGACGCCCTCTCCCAAAACTGATTACTTTTCTGTGCCAAATCGACGCTTCTATTTGTTACACATAAAATCGCGGAGAACGCTATCTTGTGTTTATAAGATCTTTGCTAATATGGACACTTTGCTTTGCTAATTGAGGGCACCAGATTGAGTACACTCATTGAAAATGGTAAAGTTTTTTATTTCATATATCTGTTGCTGTTCGATCCTAACCCAGTCAATTCAGTAAAGTTAAAAATCATACCTGGCATTAGGTGAGCATATAGGTATTCCTATTAAATTGTGTAATTTTGGTTTTCCATTTACAAACTAAGCTTCAAGAATTTCTCATTTTCTTTTGATCTTCAAAAATGAATTTATGAACATTTATATTTTTGTTAAATTTCCATGCTCAAAGGAAATAAATATTTTGTCATTTCTACCAAGTCAATTAAGTAACACATAGGTATTTTTACCCTAATAAGTTCAAGATTGGTTAGACTCTTCCATCTGGATTCTGGCAATAGTGACAAAGTCACCAGCTCTGAAGAGATCTGTTCTGGAGATTTGTAAATATCTTCTAACTCATCTTCATAATTCCTAACATTAGCTTCATCTTCTTCATTTTCTAGTAAACATTATAAACGGAAAATAGGAAACATTTTTCATAATCTTCATTTTTTACACAATAACAAGATTTTATTCTTATTAAACCAATACATAATCACAATCCTGTGCAATCAATATTCCTATTATCATCATCCTTATTTCATGACAATAATGTACAATTAATATCCTGTTATATTATTCATCTCAAAGAATTTCATCTGGTTCCATAATAAAAAAATTATGTTTTATGACTGAAGCATTTGTTGAAACCTTTGCTAAGGTAAGCAAATAATTGTTTTCAACAAAACAGATAATTTATATCAAGGCTAAAATGATGTTCTAAATGAAATATTGATTGAATGCCTGATTTTTGGAAAATCACATCATATATAAATTTTTATTGTACTACTGATATAAAATTACGGTGGTTTCAATATCGATTGCTAAATAGAATTTTAAGTAAAAATATGTTCCCTAATATGATAGGTTACTCAGAAAACGATGTTTGTGATTTTTGTTACAAGGAAAAAGAAACATTAATACATTTGTTTTTGTGAATGTAATATTGTATGTTCCTTTTGGGAAAATGTTCAGAATTGGATACATAGAAAACTGAATGTTATTAATTTTGATAAACTATAAATTTTGAATTTAGAAACATATCACTTATTTTAGATAACTTTACTTAAATCTTTATTAAATATTATATATATATATATATCTGTCTCTTATACACATCTAGAATTTAGAAAAATTTGCTTTACTTGAAGAAAAGTTTGATGAATTTGATAAAAATGTTCTAATATAAAAAGATTTTTTTGAGAATTCCATTTAAAAGAAACATTCACAGTAGATGAAAAGTAAGGTTAAAAATATGATTCTTTAACAAAATTTATATTATTTTTTATATTGTTAAATTAATGTTGTTTGTTGAAAAATTCTGAGAAGGAAAAAGAAAATATAAATTGATTTTTAAACAACCCTTTAATCCTTTTTCATATCATTTAATTTAATAACATAACAAATAATTTCCAATTCAATCAAATTCTGATTCTGTACAATCTATTCAGAATTATCACCAACATGGAGAAGAGAAATAACAAAAATACAAAAAAAAAAAATAAACACTAAAAAAAAAAATTAAGATTGCAAAATTGATTTAGGGATTAATAAATGAAATAGAATAGTAATGTACTAACCATTTGTGGTACAATAAGTTCCCGGGAGGGCTACTACAGCTGGTTCAAAATCATCAGGCAACGCTTTTAGTGCCACATGCACATACAGGGTTCTATTATTCCTATAAATTATACAATCAATCAATCAAATCAAAAGAACACTTATTTCTCAAACAATTTCATAATACAAAAAATAAATTTCAAGAGACAAGTTTGAGGGGCAAAATCCCAAAAAAGCAGAGCTTGAGGAGGGCTGCTAAAAAAAGACAGGAAAAAAAAAACACAAAAACAAGACACACACAAAGAAATGTAGAGCACACTACAAGGACGAGACCAGAAGGGATGCCGAGACGGTGAATCAAAAGTAGTTGATTAGCCATGTATTAATGAATACTGTATTTGTAAACTGGATCTCCATTTAAGTCCTTTTACGAGCAGACATTGTCCTACCAACGAAGCCTGGGAGAGGAGCAGCTCAACTAACACCAATTTTGGGCGATTGACTTGTAAAACTATTAATATAGTTTTATATTCATACACTAGGTTAAATTATTATACTTTGATGGTGTTTGTGTCAAGAAATTTAATAGGTATGTTTTGCCTTACCTGATGTGTTATCACTTGCAAAGACTTTTTTTTTTTTTAAGTTTTTGAAAGAAGAAAGGTGCTACCTATTCCTGGTTATATTATACTCAAACATTGTATTCAACAAGCAATGATTTATTTGATAAGGAACCGCACTCAAGAACTTAATGACACTAAAAAGATTGAATCTCAAAAAATGTTTGTCATAAAAGATGCTACCTGTCATATTACATCCAAGCATCATATTCACCTAGCAACAACTTATTGGATAAGGAATTATTCAAGCATTGTATACACCAAGCAATAACTTAATAATTTAAAAAAAATACACAGCATGTAGATAATGCTAGACTTATTAAATATAAATCATTGTCATTGTTACAATGCACTGATAGTTTGTATACCTATTAAAAAGATACTGTGTTAATTACATATTGACTGACCAAATCTAAAGAATACAGACTGAGACGGACTGACATTCTATTCTTCTTAATGTATATTCTTTAGAAATTGCAATATTGCAATATTAATAAGAAGGCTTGATGTCTAGTTGAAATACTGACAAGCATCTGCTATAAAATAATGAGTGAAGGCCGAATATTTCATTATGGGTATGAATAAAATAAATAACACTGTGTGTATTCAAACAAAAAAAATCTGTTTTATATACATTTGTTTTTTTTTATGGAAAAGTCAATAAATGAATCTAACAACTAGCTGTGATATTTCATATCTTAAAAATATAAATAAAATCAGAAAAAAAAAGCAAAAGTTTGAATTATTATAAACAATTGGTGCAAAAGTTGCTGACAAGTTTAAAATTTGGTAGGCATGTTTTGCCAACAGATACATTAAATATTAAATTTACACTAATAATAGCAATAAAATACATTTTCATAATAATTTTCAAAAATAATAAAATATTTTCATAATAATAATAATAATACTATCAATTGTAATAACAGTAATAATAAAAATAATATAAGTAATAATAATAAGTCTATCATGACATCGTCATTGTAAACTCCAATAATATTTTCCTATCCCAAACCATGCACTTACTTGACCGTTGTTGTGGTTTGTGTGCCAAAGGTCAATCAAAACATTATGTAATGCACAAGAAATATTTTGTTTTTAGGCTAGTTCTTTTTACATCAAGCACTACAATGAACGTCTACAAAGAGAAAGGACAGAAAGCTTAACCAAACATCATTTTTGTTGACAGTGGTTACTAAAATAAACAAAATGTCCAATCCAGCCATTATATAGAGATCAGTGTACAATCCTCGGCCTGACCTGTATGTAATTTTGGCCAATAACCATTCCGGATTTCAGGAGATAATGTAACACACAACTTTCAGATCTGCACAGTTAAATTAACATGCCATCATTACGCTCAACATCATCACAAATCGAAAGAAACCCTACTGAACAGGTCTAGACCTCCATCGTTCGATGCCACAAGATTGTCAGACCAAAAATATTAACTTGCATTTTAAACAAATAATGTTATTTTGATTACCAATCCCTAATATTGTGATCTAAAAGTCAGCGGAGCCAATATGGAGCCAACACTGTATGGACGAGGTCTGTGAGTGATGACCTAGTCACCATAAAGAAATGCTCATTGTAGTAGCTTCATGTCGATAGAGGCTGACATTTATTCGTCCAAAAAATTCAAAGGGTTCTCTAAAGTACACAAGCCAGATGTGTACGCAGGACCTCCAATTAAGTCCTCATTTGAGTGGTTCCACCAACAAAACCTTGGGCTGGTAGTGGCTCAAACCAGCACCGATGTTAAAGCTGTAGTGGGGCCCCTACCTTACTAATTGGCCACTTGTATAACATTACAAGAGGGTGATTGACTTGACAGTTAGTATAGGTTCATATTTATAAACTAGAGGAAATTATTATATTTCAATGGTGTTTGACTCTGGGAAATTTAATTAGAATGATGTTTTGCCTTACCTAACGTGTTATCACTTGCAACATTTTTTCTCGCAAGTATTTCAAAGAGGAAAGATGCTACCTATTCCTTGTTATAATATACTCAATAAGCAACAACTTAATGGATATGGAATTACTCTTGGTGATGCTAGCAAAAAGGTTGTGTCTCAAAAAAACTGTCATGAAGGTGCAACCTGTTATAATACCTTGTAACACTCAAGCATTGTATATACTTAGCAACAACTTATTAGACAAGGAACTACTCTAGCATTGTATTCACAAAGCAATAACTTAATAATTAAAAAATACACAGCATGTAGATAGTGCTAGACTTATATTAGATATGTATCTACTTTATCATTGTTACAATGCTCTGATAGTGTGTATACCTATTACTTATTAATCAGTAGCACACAATTTACAAAAAGATATCATGTAAATTACATATTGACTGGCCAAATCTAAAGAATACAGATTGAGAAGGATGACATTCTATACTTTTTAATCTATATTCTTTAGAATTGGCAATTTTAATGAGATGTCTTGACGTCTAGTTAAAATACTACTGCCATGGCAATCATCAGCCATTTTCAATTGTGGCAACATGCTACAACCAGGATATTTACTTGCATTACTATCAGACTAAGATCTCTCTTTAGGTTACACTTTTAATATGCACTCAGTTTTTTAATTTTTATTGAAATATTTTTTATATTTACATTTAACAATGTAGGCAACAACCGAACATAAATACAGGTAAATGCAATAATAATATTTAAGTAAATGGTTCTACACTGAGCTACCTGGTCTGACTAAAGTGATGTTCTCTGACATCAGAGTGTGCTATAATGGCAAATGTCAGCCAACCTTAATTATATTTTATTATAAAATGTTAGTGGTGGTGGCTCAAATATTGTAGTCATTGAGTAACTAAAAAGTTGTCGAAACCTACAATATTTATAAATTCTACCTTTTTTCCCATTTCTTTTTTTAGGTCCTAGACCAAGGATATGCCAAGCAGTGAACTTCATCACTTTTGTCTTGAGAAAAAATCCTGGTGAAACCACCAGGCTACTCAATCTCTACCAAAATCAAGCCATTTGTTTCCCAAAACTTTAATATTTTCAAGTATTTTGCGTTTACTAATGTATTAATGCATATAGGCATATATATGGATATAATGTATGTATTTATGCGCATGTGGGTGTGCATGAATTGTGTGTATGCACACCTAAATTTGCATGATTACTGTACCTTTCATTTTCACCAATTATGATCAATACAATACAAAATGTGATATGGTTCAATTTTATGGCAAAGACTGCCATTTTTAAAACAAACTATCTCTATTGCAGTATGGTATCATCAACACAAAAGTTACCAAAATATTTACCATAGATAAACACCCAAATCATCAACATGGGTGGTTGCTAGGTGGTCTCCTGTAGGAGAGAGGGTTAAACTTGTAGCTGGAGAATCCAAGAGAAAAGAATCTACCAATCTAGAGGTGGACGAAAAACACTGTGTGTGTTACAATGAATACCCATTGGAAGTAGTGTAAAGGGCATAGTGTATTTATGCACTTCGCACTATATAATCAATAAATCTATTATATTATATATAGAAATACTATATATGGAAATAACAATTCAGTATTGTTAAACTGCATTTTATATGACATGAACATGAATAAATGTAATATAAAGGAATTAATTAATGAATATTGAATATTGTTGGTTGTACTGTTAAACCATATATATTAAGCGCTGCATAAGTGTAACATATTATTAATATCAATTCCCAGTTTAACAGAAAAGTGTCTCCTTATAGGGTGTCCCCTTAATAGATGCATCCCAAAGGAGAGGGGCTCTACTGTATGTAATTTATTTCAAATAATATGTTTCAATACTAATGATTTCAAATTTGAGTGACTGCAATTTGAATAATTCTTACATCTTGAAACTGTAGCAATCAATTTTGCACCTTCAATTTATCTTTAAAATACAAATATTATTTCCATGTTCACAAAAAATTGATGAAAAAAAAAACTAACCTTCCAAGAGGGAGGTCCCAAGTGCGAATGGTTGAGTCCATTGAGGATGTAAGCAACCACCTCCCATCTGAACGGAATGCCTAATAGACAAAACATGTCAATCAAAATACGAAAATAAATACTTGATAATAAAATCTTAAATGAATTTAATGTAATTTTCTTCATCTTTTTTATGTATATATCTAAATTTAATTAGCCCCAATGTGCAATGAAATTTATTTTGTCTGTTCATTATTAATGTAAATTTTAAATATGCTATAACTTTTTTTACCTAATTTTAGACAATTTTTCTACTTTTACATACATAAAATTTTGAAATTAATTTTGTAATTTTCATCATGCAAAATATAAAAGAATACTAAGGAAGAATAGGAAAACTTGGAGCAGCTGAAAAATTTTCCAAAAATTAACCATAATAATCAATACGTTATTATTGTATTTATGTTTTTGTAATAAATTCTAGGCACTAATCATCAAAGGTCTTGATGCTGGCAGCCTACACTTTAAGTTCAACATCTAACAATGAGTGGAGTTGAATAGCTTGGTGGTTAACATCCTTGCTTTCCAATTCAATTCCTGTCAGTGTAGCAGGATTTTTTTTCTCATGACCAAAACAACTCCACTCCCTAAGCCTTATAATGAGACTTAGTTTTAAATGTAGAACATCTTATGTTTATGTTTGTTTTGTGAAGGGGTACACCACTTAGAATAGATTAGTGATTAAGTTGCTACTTGGCACATCCTTGGTCTTCGGCATAACCAATTAATTAAAAAAATAAAAATTAACAGAAAGTCTCTTACCATATCTGTCACACTATTTCTGTGACCAGAAAATACTCTCACGATGTTGTGTGTGTCGATGTCAACTACATTCACAGTAAAGTTATCTAATGCCACTGCCATCATTGAACTGTCAAATTAAGAGTTTTAGTTCAGTCAGTTTTAACATGAAACATTTATGTATTTTGCAATCCATAGATAGTGACTAGGCACTTTGGAGGTTATTTATTTTATCCATATTGGAAACAACTCTGTTATTCTCTGTATCCACATTGGAACTTCCTTTATTAGTCACTGGATCGATATTAAAATGTCCTCCATTACATTCATAGGATCCATAATGGTTCCTTTGTTATTTATTTAATCCTATTGTTACCTCCTCCATCATTCAATGGATCCGTACTGGGACCTCCTCCATCATTTATTGGATCCATATTGGAATCGTCTCCATTATTTATTGCATCCATATTAGAACCTTCCCATTATTTGTTGAATCAATTTTGGAATGGAGATATTCATTCAGGCCCGTAGCCAGCATGCTTCAAGGGGGGTTCTGAGCGTGGGGTTCAGGGGCCCGCCAAAGGGCCCCGGTGGGGTCAAGGGGAAAAGCCCCTGTGGGGGTTGGGGATGAAGCCCCCGAAGCCAGAGCATTTATACGATTTTAAAAGCATGTACATGTCATTTAAATGCATGTTCTTGTATATTTAAATACTTCTTACACAATTTTAAAAATAGGATAAGAAGACTACTTTTTCCAATACAGGAGTTAGAACGTAAATGTTTATTGTGAAACAAAATTTTTTTGCTATCCTAGGCCCTGGCCTATGCTAGCTCGATTACAAAATAAATAATAAAATCGTTCGCAAATAATAGGCTACAACCCTACCCTACCTAGCAACGCTAGACCTAGGCCTAGCCCGAAAAAGTACACCGGTCCCGCCGCCAGGCAGTATCATGAGCATGTGGTGAAAACAAGGGTGAATTTTCTTCGTTGCTGGCCTTGAAGCAAAAAAATCGGTTATCCTTTCTCAGCGCTTCATCTAGGCTATTTTTGGCGTGTTGCATGTCCTCGATCCCAGAGAAATGAAAAATGTTGAGCGCCCAAACTTTTGTGATGACGTCGTGCCAAAGTAAGTAAATAAACTCCGGAGCACGTAATTGGTCAAATAGCCTAGGCAACAAACCTCTCATTAATATTCATTTTGAAGTGTTGCTGGTTATGTCATTCAGCTGGCTGCAGCTTTGTTTTGATTTCTACGATCGAACTACGATCGATAGCGACAAATAAACAGTGCCAAAAAATGCTCTCATTTTGTAATAAATTGCACTATTTTGGAAACGGGGGATCGTTTTCTGGCTAAGGGGGTTCGCTGGCAAAAGGGGGGTTCGCTGAAAAAGGGGGGTTCGCGCGAACCCCTAAAAACCCCCCTGGCTACGGGCCTGTTCATTGGATCTGTATTGGAACCTCCTCCATTCATTGGGTCCATATTGGAACCTCCACCATTCCCAAATAATGTAAATCCACACCACACTAAATAATTGCAAATAGTATGAGGTAACATTATGTAATCATTTACAATTTAACATTACTAACCTCTCCCTGTGTAGAAATAACATTGAGACTGCAGATTCCATTTTAAGATTCTTTAATAATTCTTTGCTTTTAAATTGCCAAAATTTGATGTAACCATCACTAGCTCCTGTGATGGCAACTTGGTTAAGACCATCTACAGCTGCACCTCGAATTGGTCCATTATGTGCTACAAAATATATTAAATAAAAAAATGTGCTACAAAAAAATATTAAATAAAAAACCCCATATCAAATTCTGATTTAGTGTAAATTCTGTTTTTCATAGCCATTCTGACCCATTTATTAACACTGCTACTTGTTGTGGTGATAAAGTAAGTGAGGAAGTCTACAGATATCTGCAGGGACCAGGGTACCAACCTGTGCCACATCTCTTTGGTCTCTGGGTACCAACCAGAGTGCTGCGCGACATCTTCTGGTTAACAATCTGCAGCATCCACAGTGCTGCGCCATAGCTGCTGAGTCCCTGGGTAACAACCCATAATAGTTACAGTGCTGCGCCACATTTGGCAGGTTTCTGGGAGCCTACAGATGCTGGCCAACATGTACCATCATGCGTCACATGTGCTCGGTATCTAGGTATCAGCCAGCAGCAACCAGAGTGATGTGCCACATTTTCTGGGTACCAACAAGCAGCAGCCACAGGGCTGTGTTACATTTGCTGTGTCCCTATGTACCAAACTACTGCAGCCTTAATGCTGCATTACATCTGACGGGTCCGTGCATACGCACAGCTCCCACATCCAGTCAATGGATTTCCATATTAGTCACAGCGCTACGCCACATTTAACCAACTGGACTATGCTACAACCTTTTATATATTTATGTAACTAATTTAAAATTCTTTTAAAGAATTAATTTACCTGTAGGGTTACCAAATGAGCCTCTGAAAATGCCTGACTGAATGTTGTACAAATCCACATGTCCTGTACTCCAGCCAACAAGTGCAAAATTACCACAAGTTGTAATTTCCACCACCTGTCAATCAAGTATTTAAGTAGAAATAATAATATTTTAGACTTTTTTATGTAGCTATGATATTACAGATTCAGTGTCATCGGGTGATGACATCTTTGACTCTGATAATGCCATGTGCCTTAGTTTTAAATTATATCTTTCCCGTCTTCAGATCTGCTTGGAAAACAAATATAATTACAAGAAAATGGATGAAGATAAATTTATTACAAAATTGAAAAAGGTTAATTGGGTAGATATTAATGCTTGTAATAATGTTCATGAGGTAGTTCAATATTTTAATGATATTGAATTAGATAATGTAAATTAATCTATTCCAGCCATCAACCTAAGGTGTAAGCTACCACCTTGGTTTGACAAGGACCCCCGTACACTGTTAAGACTTAAAGAACAACTCTTCAAATTAAAAAAAGGACCACTCATCACAAATTAATTCAAATTAAAAAAAAGGACCACTCATCACAAATTAACTATAGTATAGCATATTTTCTGATGCTAGTAAAGAATTTTAAAAATACAACCAAACGTAAATATTATTATTATGTATAAAATAAACTTGCCAATGATTTGTTGAACATAATAAATATAGTGAATCTTGAATACATGACATGATTATAATAATTTACAAGCTAGTATTAAAAGAAAATCTTACCAGAGCTTCCACATGTGTATCTAGCATATTATCAAAACGTTTATGCATCAATTTATGTGATCCCATACAGCTTTTTTGGAAGTTCCATGTACTGACAACCGGAGAACCATGATGGCATGCAACTATGCCATCCCAGTGCATTTCACGACTACACTCTAATGAACAAATATAATTGAAAAGGATAGGTGATAAGTTCACTCACAACATGGTGTTATTATTAATGGTATCTTAAATACTTTAATACCAAAATATTAAAATATGACAATAAAGCAATTATTATGAAGTAATACCTGCAGCAAAATCAACAATTGGTGGTAATTTGAAGACATCATTTTTCAGTCCTTTCTTCTTTGCCAGACTCCTGTTCATGGAGGCTTGACCGAAGTTTTTGTTGTGTTTCTCATGAACTGTTGAAAATGATTTTAAAGTACAATCCTGACCTGTAAACAATAACCAATCAGAAATAGTTTTGTCAAAAATGTACAGAAATAGAGTATAATGCCAATAAGTGCTTGCATGCACATACATACATACTGTTGATTTTATTGAGATTGTCTAATTGTTTCAATCAAGTTCATCAACAGGAGATTAGTATTATTATTCCCTCCACCAAGGCAGAATGTCTTCACCAGTGTCTGTTAGCAAGATTACACAAAAAAATGGAATTGCCCTTCGCATTCAAGCAGTACTCAATAAAATGTGGCTGAATACGATGGCGATTCCATTTTATCCTTGAGGATATGCTGCAGTTTTGTCAAACATACATGGCCTGCTTATTGTTGGTATTCAGGCATAGGGCGGAGGTATGCACTCTATGGAATGACTGCTCTAGTTTATTATTATAGTTTACTTCGCCTTGCAATCCTTCAAACTATCTTCAGTTAACTTCCGTTAATAAATCTTTAAAGACTTAATCACTGGAAAGCTTAAAAACATCGAATATGGCGCAATTAATTTACCTGCACTTAAGATATCCTTGCCATGCTTGCCATGGAAACGAATCCTTGTTGGAGGTGCATAGTGACCTGACCTTATTTTGTGAAGTCTGCCACCACAATCAGGCTGATCAAAAATCCACATCTAATAACAAAATAAACTAAGTAAACTTACTTAGCATAAGCTGTTCTACAGCCCTGTGCCCACTAGCATTTTTAAGTGACAATTTATGTGGGAGCGATATATCTCCACTAGGCTAGGCAAGGCCAGGCTAGGCTGGCCAGGCTAGGCTGGCCAGGCTAGGCTGGCCCGGCTAGGCAAGGCCAGGCTGGCCAGGCTAGGCTGGCCAGGCTAGGCTGGCCAGGCTATGTTCATAGAGCAAATAAGACATTTTTTTGCAGAAAATTTGATGCCTTGGACAGAGCACTATTGTCCACTCAAATATCACCTTCACCACTGAAAAAACTATGCAGTGAACAAAATTAAAGCCATTGTAATAAACTGGAAAGATAATATTTTGATGTTACATTATATAAAATGTTGAATATAGGCCTAAATGCAATTTTCAGTCTTTAAATTGTGATGATGTAATGAGGCTTGAACTACTATGTAAATGTAAAGAAAGAATATAAAAAACATTTCAATTCAGATCCATCTTTATTTGTCATATATAAATATATATATATATATATATCTAATGTATATCACTCGCGCTGATGAAGTCCACAGGAGTGGACGAAATATTCGTGTTTGATAAATTATGTTCCAAAAATACGTCAACTTGACTTTTTTTTTCATTGTCATCACTTTCACCAATATATTTGTTAAGGAGCAACGTGCTACATCATTTCACAATGATACATCTCTCTCTCTCTCTCTATGTATATATATATATATATATATATATATATACTCGCCACTGAGGAAGGACTAGTGTTGTCCGAAAGCTCTGGTTCTATTTCTGGCTGTTTACTTACGTTTACTTTTTAGCTGTTGCTTATCATTTTTGTATCTCTACTGAGATCCAGCCATTGTTTCCCACAGCATTGTTGTTTTCCAGTATTTTGCCTTTTAATCTATATATATGTATATATATATATATATATAGATGTGTATAAGAGATATATATATATATATATATATATACATATATATACACACACACACACACACTTATATATATTATTTTAAGAATGTATATGATGTTATGGTAACCAAGGTTGCGAGCTCAGAGAGAGTAATGACTGATTTGTAACTTACATTAAATGCAACTGCTACCAAGCTACCAATTAAAGATTTCATAAGAATAATGTTTGATAATAACTTAAATGCACTTGTTACCACGGCAGCCTGGATGGCACCTACCTTTAATGCATTGTCTGCAGCCGTGGTAACCATTAAAGGTTCAGAGTTGAGAAAACACATGCCAGTTACAGCACCATGATGAACATCCCTCATTTGACCTTTCAACTTCTTTTCTTCTAAATCCCAAAATGCAATGTGACCAACCATACTTCCAGTTGCCATAATAGGATGGCCATCTGAAAATAAAAACCATAGGCTTAGCCTTAATAACAATACAGGGTGCACTGTACATAAAATAATACAGTGCACCCTTCAATCGGAAATCCCTTTTATTCGAGACCACTGTTTCAGAGAACCAAATAACAATCTTCAATCTTTTAAGACAAACCTAACCTCTGATTAGAGACCAAACCCCAAGACCATCCCAAATTTTCAGGTTCCAATGGTGGTCTCGAATTGGAAGATGAACTGTATATGCTGCAAATAATTATGTTTAATTCATGTGTCAAATAAAATTGCTGTAGGGCAACATGTGGCCATCAGGCCGCATTTGCCCACCTGTGAGTTCAGGGCATCTTCAGCTTAATTGATATACTTTAGTCTATGACTCAAGAAATCATGCTCTGATGGTTTCGGTTGGAGTTTAATGTTAAATGTAGTGGAGAATACTTAGCGCTTTGTAACTGCAAGGGAATATGCTATGAAAAAACTACGACCAAGATTACTGGAATAGTAGCTAGTTGACTCTCTGAGGTAGACTTTGAAGGGCCCTGAACATCAGTCAAACTAGGGTAAGTTTGAAGTTTTGCTCTCTCTAAATATGGTACAAAAAGTGAAAAAAACAAACTCATCCTTAAAAAAAAAGAAATGAAAACCCAGGAGTTATCACTTTCCCTTACCCAAAACATAAACAATTCATTAAGTTAAGGTAACTATCAGTAAATCAACTAACTAAATATTGTCTAACCTGTACGAAAAGAAATTGCAGTGACTAGACCCCAATCTTGAGTGAATGTCATTACAGATTCATCAAACCTGAGATTGTGAATGATAATATTGCCATTAGCTAGACCAATAGCCACTACATCAACTGCTGGAGCCTGCAATGAAAATTATTAAAGGTAGTGATTAATTGGCTTGTAGGAGAGAAGAGCATTCTAGAGGGATGGGGCAGTAGTTGACTTATGTATTATTATTCTAAATCTTTGAATGATCAATTTATGCTAAAACAAATGTTTATTATGTGACAAAAATGGAAAGGCTATGTGAAACTGATGAATACTCCAACTTTGGATTCATTTTTCATATAGTTCACATGCATTCACACTAAAATGACTTATTATAATCATCAATCTTTACATGATTAGTATCTGTTTGGATTAGAATTATTGATTTCAAAGTTGAAAGATACCCTATTTTTAATATAAAATTTGAAACTCTTTTCTGTACAACCATCAGAAGACCATTTCTGTCTTCATCAGAAGGTTAATGAGTTAAAATGCTTTCCTTCAGTGCATGGCTTTAAAATAGTGTAATTGGGTTAGAAACTTGTTTATAAATATTTGTCAATAAATGTTTTAGTATGGGATATTTATTTCAAATAACACTATTCCATACTTCAGGTATGTAATGCCTTTTAAATTTTTCCCAAAAATATTGTGGTTGCCTACCTGCTCAATAGCAGTGACGTGTGAATTCCATCCATCAAATGTGTATACCAATTTGCTGAAATCAGAAGTAACTTTATACATGACTAAAACATAATATTATAAGATTTTGAAACATTGTCCATTTGTATCACAGATTCCAAGTTAGACAAATTTGCATGCGTGAGAAAGAAAAAAATATTATGTTAAGATTAACATAAATGAGACTTTCCATCCCAAATCTAGTCTGCTGTCACTAAATGTTAAACTGAGTAATTAGCATAAGAATATGGCAGTATTGTATACTTTAGTACAGAGAAGTCATAATAATTTTACTCATAACTTTGGAAATAGTAAGTAGATTCCTGTAAGGGGTCATCCATACTTATCAGGGGCGTACGGTGAAAAATCTAAGGGGGGTCGAAACGAAAGCGCAGGGGGCAAGCTGAACTCGGAGCAATTTAGCGAAGCTTTCAGAATTCGCGGGGTGCGTTATTTGTGAGTGAAGCGAGCATATTTAAAGGGCACTTTCTTTAAAAGGGGGGGTCGACCACACCCATCGACCCCCCCCCCCCACGGTACGCCCCTGATTATCAACATTTTCAAAACAGTACAAAACATACACTTTAGGGGGGAGGGGGTTGAAAGTGTAGGCATAAGTACTCTTTTATGAAAAACATAAAATGTTGATCTCAAAATGACACAAATAAACATTTTATTGTGTAGTCTTTCGGGGGGAAGGGAGGGGGTAACAGAAAAGAGTATGTTGATGTTGATAATTATGGATGACCCCTAAATGACCTATTATTTTAAAGCTTATATGGAGTATATAAATATATAAAGTAAATGTTCTACTTTTGGTGACTGATGCTGGTTTTGGCATGGCAAGCCAATAATGCCAATACATTAACTTATTCTGTTGGCTGGTTTTGGTATGGCAAGCCAATAATGCCAATATATTAACTTAAGTTGTTGGCTGGTTTTGGTATGGCAAGCCAATAATGCCAATACATTAACTTATTCTGTTGGCTGGTTTTGGCATGGCAAGCCAATAATGCCAATACATTAACTTATTCTATTGGCTGGTTTTGGCATGGCAAGCCAATAATGCCAATACATTAACTTATTCTGTTGGCTGGTTTTGGTATGGCAAGCCAATAATGCCAATACATTAACTTATTCTGTTGGCTGGTTTTGGCATGGCAAGCAAATAATGCCAATACATTAACTTATTCTGTTGGCTGGTTTTGGTATGGCAAGCCAATAATGCCAATACATTAACTTATTCTGTTAGCTGGTTTTGGTATGGCAAGCCAATAATGCCAATACATTAACTTAAGTTGTTGGCTGGTTTTGGTATGGCAAGCCAATAATGCCAATACAGTAACTTAAGTTGTTGGCTGGTTTTGGTATGGCAAGACAATAATGCCAATACATTAACTTATTCTGTTAGCTGGTTTTGGCATGGCAAGCCAATAATGCCAATACATTAACTTAAGTTGTTGACTGGTTTTGGTATGACAAGACAATAATGCCAATAGATTAACTTAAGTTGTTGGCTGGTTTTGGTATGGCAAGACAATAATGCCAATACATTAACTTATTCTGTTGTAATAGTCCTTTAAAAAATGTCAAAGTATTTTATATCAGTTCTTAAAATATCACAACTACCATTATAGGACTGATGATTCCATTAACATTGTATATGCTTGGCAAATTATTAAACAAAAAGTTATGATAAAATGTGTGTATTTACTTTTTGCGTATGTTCCATAGTTGCAAGGTACCTTGATGACTTCCAAAAAGAATCTTATTCAGGTAAGTACTAGGGTGCATCATGGTAGAAATTCTGAATGTAGAATTGTTAAATTCTAGCTCCATATACAAGTCTGAGGAAACAATAAACAATAAATTATCACAATAAAAATTAAATCAGTAAAGTTAGTCAGCAATAATTCTTACTTGATATTCAGTTGATTTGGATTGGATTTATTCGGTGTAAACACCAATGATAACCCACAAGTGTCCAAAAAAGACTTATTCCCAGTAGAATTCTTCTGCTGGTGATTGGAGTGTACTACATTCTTTAAGATGCACATGGGCCATATATTGCTCACAGGCTTAAACGCTTCATCTGAAAGACGGCGAAACTTACTTCTAGCTGAAACAAGCGGCGATGGCGATTCAACCTATAGATATCCATGGTTCAGCGCACACACAGTGGCTACCACTAGTTTAGCCAACTGAGCTAAGCTGCTCTAAAGCAGTTCTGGATTTATGTTGTTAGAAAGGTCACAATGTGGAAAAAATAATGAAATTTACCTTTTGTGGAAATATGCCAAATACTGACATGACTCTCAACATCAACAGCAATCAGATGATCCCCAAATGGAAGGAGGTGGTGCACATTTTTGCCAGGACATTCATAAACATGCTCTGCCTGAACAAACAAATAACATAATATTCTTCTAAAATTATATAAAAAAAAAAAATTTTGGTGATGGAACAATTTTACTGGGACACGCATGGCAAGGCCTAGCCCAGTACTGTGTAGTGCTAAGCCTATCCTCAACAATGAGATGCTAAATTATTCAAAATTGTCATAAATGGCATTGTTGATCAGACATACATACATTGGGTTTTAATTGGAGTCAGATCACTCTGCTCCTCAAATATTAATTCCAGTGTAATTTCAAATTTAGTGCCTTATTAATTTTTATTGGGATGTTGACTTGTTTTTTTTTTTTGGTTTTTTTTTAAATTTAATTTTAGTGTATTATCTGATTTAAATAATTGTAAATAAAATTTTAATTAATTCTAGTGTAATATCAAATTTAGGCTTTATTAATTTTTATTGATGTTGTTAACCTGTTTTAGATGTTATGCATTTGAATATTTTAGATATATAATTCAAATTTAGCCAATTTGTTTTTTAAATATTTTCATTTGTTGTTGAGTGCAATCGTTTTAATTAGTTTATAATTGTTTTTGTCGAATTTTGTTAATATTTCTCAATTCAGCCTTTGTGTTGCCACGAAATATGTTTCGATGTGAATAAACCAGAATAAATAAATAAATAACCCTTGCATGAGAGTTAGATGGGTACTGGTGCTGCACTGTGGCCCAGGCAAAATTTCCAATTTCAAATATTTGGAATTGGGCAAAAAATGTTTTTTGAAGTTTGTAGAAATAGGCCTTTGTGTAATGGATAAGAGGAAATAAAATGTATAAATTTGTAGAAATAGGCTTTACCGTAGTGGATCTGATGAAAGCTGTTACTGTGTTTCCATATGCAGTATACACATACTTGCTATCGGCAGCCATACAGGTGATATCACTTGGGTGAGCATCACCTTAGAAAAAAAAAGAAGCATAAACAATACAACTTCAGCATTTCTTAACAAATTTAAATACAGGTAATTGGAAATTAATTTCAGTGTTTCTTATCAACTCTAATTAAATATAATTTAAACTGTAACTTCATAAGTAATGTCATAAGTAAAAAAAAAATAATGAACACCAAGAAGGGTCCATCTTTTGTGGTTAACCAGGTTAAAATAAGAACAGTGGATCTTGAAGTGTGAATAATGTTTAAAGATCTGGTTACCATAACAATCTGTTATACAGTGGGCCTACTGTATCAATGACAGTAAGCCTTGGCGTAGAGTGGATAATAATATTAAAAGATTATTGATGAACAGTCAATCTTGTTGGGGTTGTGTATAATTTAGAAAGACTTGGTTATAAATTTCTTACATAAAATACTTAATAGTGAAGTAAAAAGATTTGTATTGTTTGAAGGTATGCATGGCGAAGTAATAAAATATACGCAGTGGCTAGAGATACGGTACTGTATCGGAACTTCCGATTGCTAAAGGTACGGTAAATGATATTACGTCATGATTAGCCAATAGAAATGACCGATTCGATTTGGCTTTTTTGCAAAATCGACGTTCGTGATCATGAGAAACAGGCGCGAACAGTTACGATCAAATTTATGGCATAATAGGCCCATTTCATGTACTTCGATTGGGGCTTATCACAATGTTTGGGTTAAAAGTCCTTTCTGTTATTCTTGCATATTTTATGGTCTACCATAGAGAATGGTCTACTTAGGCTTAGGCCTAGACCAAATACCCGCCTAGGGGCCTATGCTTATAGGTGTACAGTACTACTAGATTAGGCTTAGGGCTAGTAAGTGCTACTACTGGGAGCCTAGCCTACTTATAGAGTAGTAGGCACTAGTTATTATTGCTGATTGAAATAGCCAACCAAGCAACATGGCAATTGTAATTATCAGTGAGAGTAAACTTTATTTGTAGTATAGGCCTAATATAGTGCGTATACTACAGAGAATTAGTATGCACAGTAAAGTAGCAGGGGTAGCTAAGGCTAGGCCTGGCTTCTACTATTAAAATAGTTTACTCAGTCGCTTGATGTCACCAAATCTAGCAAAACTGCTATTCTTTTTATTTTCTATAGGGCCTCCGGCTACAGAATATTAATCACAGCTTGTCAACAACACCCGCGAACGAACGAAATTTCTTATCTTCGATCGTTGCTAAAACCATAAAACACACACTCACTACTCTTGCAGCAGTGCACTGAATGACGTCACGCATGTATCGGCGTTTCTATTGGCGAATCATGACGTAATATCATTTACCGTACCTTTAGCAATCGGAAGTTCCGATACGGTACCGTAACTCTAGCCACGGCGAAAAATATATGTTTAAGCTTCCGGTACACCACGTAGGTAGTTCTGAAAAGAACTGCTGTAGTTGAGAAATTCTCAACTAAAACAGTTCTTTACCGCAAGCTAAAACATATGTTAAAAGTTTGGATATCAATTCGTTTAAATTGAATCCAGTCTTTATAACAATCAAATCAAATTAAAATCAATTAAATAAGATTAAAAATTGGTTTAAAATTTCACCTTGGCCGATTTAGTGATGCTTTATAAATTCCAATAAAAAGAATATAAAAAGAACATGTTTTTCATACTAACTGTATAAATACAACAACTATACTTACTGACACTGATTAATCCAAAGTTTGAACACTGAAAAAAAAAGTATGTCAGATAATTATGGAATGAGGTCTTATGCATGTATTAAATAATTAAGTTTTGTGAACCTGCCCCCTCACTGATGGAGTGGTTAATAGCTTGATGGTTAAGATGCTTGCCTTCCAATCCCAGAACAGAATACTGGGTTAAGTCCTGTCATGGTAACTTCAATAAATATCAATTTAATAAGAAAACTTTATCTTATCATCTGATCATTCTTGTTAAGAATTACTGTAAACATTTTTCCACACAAAAGTTGGTTTGTGTGAATTCTAAAACAAAATTTAGGTGCAACTTCACATTTAGGACTACTGTAAATGCTTGAATAAGCGCCGCTCTCGAATAAGCACCGTGGCACTTAAACTAGAGTATAATATTACGCGGTGTGTAATGAAACACTTTGAGAAACAGGGTTTTAAATGTAAAGATACAGTGTTAGAATTAATAAATAACACAAGGAAGACAAAAGCATTTCTTTAAACGTTTATTTATGATGATATGACCTATGACAGGGGCGGATTTAGGGGGGGGGGGGCGGCCCCCGGCCCCCCTTTTGGGAGATTAAAAAAAACGAAAAAAAAAGAAAAAAAAAAAAAACGGCACATGCTTGATCTTTGCTACTTACGTACAGTAGCATATAGATCTACATCTGAAGTTGTGCACCTGACTTTGTGGATGACGTCACAGTTACGTGACGTCATCTACGCGCCATTTTGTCATTTACCATAACTTCTTTACTAACAGGTATTTTTCTATGAAACTTGACACAAGTATACTTCACATCAAGTGTCAACTTTCTGCAACATTACCGTCCGCGCATCCACAGTAAAGTATGTGCGTACGCATGCCTCAAAATTTTAAAATGCTCAAAATCACTTTTTGACTAAATTAGAGCATGTTTTAGGTCATTTTGAGCATTTCTTAATTTTTTGTTCGTCCCGCGAGCGCATTTTTACGCGCGCGCATGTACAGAAGCTAGAATTATCGTTTTTTTTTACGTTTTAGATTCCTGACACTGTATTCCAATCTTTTTCGGTCATTTAGCGTCAATAGCAATGCTGTACGCGCGCATGCGTAAAAGATACGAATCCATGTGCGCGTTTTTGTCGACTTAGGAGCGGAAATAGGTCAAAATCATGCCTATTTTTACTATATATTCTGAAAGCACATAAGTTGTAGATATGATTTTATAGATCATAATGGCTGATAGGACATTGTGACGTCATCATATTGCGATCTGAATTCAAAAAACTGATTTTTTATCTATGGCGCATTTGAGCGTATCTTCCTTATCCTTGATCGATTTTCTCCAAACTTCGAGGAAGATTATAACTGAGACAATTCTCTTTCATAAATGTCACGACTTTTTACATTTTGATGACGTCATCATTTTTTACATAATTTTTTTATCTGACCATTCATCTTTCTTTTCTCAAATCATTGAAATCGTCATATCAAGTATGAATGTAATGCGCGCACATTTTCACATGCACAGCACTTTTTGAAATTGAAAATTGGTTTTTTTTTGCATCATGATTTCCTGACACTGAATTCACAGTTCCATTCTCTCTCAGCCATTTTAGTGCAAAAACAATGCCATACATGCGCATCAAATATACGAATTCGTACACTTTTGAGTCGACATACTGACATTGTATTAACAAATTTCCATGTTTTGTTAAATGCCTTTTTTTATTCTGATACCAAAAGTCTCCTTCATGTTCAATCATTTAAAAATCATCAAAATAACTATCATCAATCCCAGCGTATCACCGAATTCGTCTATGACGAATTCCGAATCTAGTTAATGTTGTTGTTCTTTGAAGTTCTTTTTTCTTTCACGCTTTTTAACTCTTGACATAAATTGTTTATCCTCATTTTGTCTGTGTCATTTAATGTTTTAATTATTTAAATGCTTACTGCTTTTATATCGTGATTCCCCCAATCTTTTTACTATTGAATTTGTTATGATTATGATTGATTAATGTTGTTGTTCTTTTGTGTTTTTTACTTCTATGAAAATTTGGCCTCATTTTCACCATTATTTATCGTTGTACACTTTCATTGCCGTTTTGGTCTTGCCGTTTGGACTTATTGCCGTTTTGGCCCATTGCCCTTATGGTCTGAAAGTGTTGGTTTTTGCCGTTTTGACCTGTTACCATTATTTTTTATTTTATAGTAATTTAGGCATACAAGTACAGACAATATACGAACAATATTGAATTGTAGGGCAGGGGCCTAGCCATGCCCCTAGGCCCCGTAGGCCTAGCTACGAATTACAGACGAGAACGTTTTGGAAATTTTCGATTCTGCATGCCAAGAACTCGCAGAGCAACAACGCGGCGCTCCATACATTTTGTCATTCGCGGCCGAAATTGACCTAGGCCTAGGCAAGCCAAAATGGTTTTGGAAATTTTCGATTTTGTCAGCAGACGATCGGGCACAATATTCAGTTTTCCCTAAAGACGATCGGGCCCGTTTTTGGACGATAAAAGTGGGCCCGATCGTTCAAAAACGGGCCCGATCGTCTGTCACCCCTAGCTAGTACTAGGCCTATGTACAGTAGGACTACCTAGGCCCCTAGGCCTATACCTAGCTAGACTAACTAGGCCTATGCCTCTCTAGATAGGCCTAGGCCTAGACATGGCAGTTATAAATTCCAACTTACGTTGTAAGTATGGAACGATTTTCCAACGGAGGTGATAACGTACGTTTCCTTAAATTTCTGATTATATTTTGTTAATAAAGGAACATGGTTGCTGTAAAATCCAATGGCTCGAGAACCAACGAAAATCTTACTCCCTGGTGCCATTTCAAAACAAGGTAAATATAACTCTCGACGACTGCTTGCGCACATGTTCCCCAGTACTCAAATACAGTAGAATTATAGCGCCACCAATTTTTCGTTAATGGAGCCAGTGGAATTTATCATAAATAATTACGGTATATTTTTTTCAAATCGCATACAAAATAGTCCATTGTGTTGCTGCATGATATGCTGAATTGAGTATAAAATTACATTAACTGTATTGTATTTGTGTAGTTGGATATTACGAATGATTAGAAGAAAATCATTAGCTAATACAGAATTTAAGGCCATTTTTATTCATTAAAATACAATTTACAGTAAAGCAAAATTGTACAATGCTACTTAGTTGAAAACAAAATTAAGGCATTTTTCTTCATTATCAAAAAATTATTAAAGTTTGAGAAAAATGTTTTTTTGTCATTGTTTCTAAAATGTTCACCTCTTTCAACTGTCGATGTATATGTAACTTTTTCAAGAAATTTTAATAAAAAAAATGTTTTAAAATTGTATATGAATCAACACTGAAAAACAATAAATAATGAAGTCTGTTATGTTTCCAAATTATTCAATTTAATATTAAAAATTTGTGCTGATCAAAAATTCAGGAAGAATAATTCCTTAAAAAATAGCCTGCGACATTTAAAAGGAACAAGGTTCATCCACCAATGTATGCTGAACCTCTTAAAAAAAAGTTTTTACAATTTCATACAATATTTATAGATTATTTATGAGGTTATTCAACAGTATAAGTTGAATACCAATGTATGTCCAATGTGCTACTGTTATCATTTCTGGTAACATAAGTTGTAATGCCAATATGGTTACAAAAACAAATATCATTTCATCACCTACAGTATATGGTGTTGATGCAAATAGGGTGATCCATAAATAACTCACCCTCACCCCCACCACTACAAACAATAAACAAATACTGTAGTAACATCTTATAACAGTAATTATTATTAACTTACTACTGCACAGTAAAAGGTGTGAAAACCATATTCAAATGTATATAATATATTCCCCCCGCATAATTCAGGGTCCCCTGACTTGTGATATTAAACATGCGCAGGATGTATAATTATAATTGGGTGTAACCCTACTCCAGGGGAATAGGTAATCATTGTGACAAAATATTATAGTTTTTATGTCGCTTTAGTGACAGAATTTAGTGGTGACCTCAAACAGCAAGGGATTGATCAATTACGAAGGAAGGAGCAGTCACACATGGGTTGTATCAGTCAGGGTGTCAACATTCCCAGACGCTGAGCACTACAGATAGCAACAAGGGAAAATCCTACTGACAAAATGCTCCAAGGCCCCTCCCAGGGTACAGGCCTCTTGAACTTATTTGAGGTTTACAAAATTAACAATCATCTGGTGATGTGAAGACTGCTACGGCCTAGATTTACACCAAAGTATCCATGTCTCAATAGCAGATGCTGCGCTGTTGAAACACACCAAACAACAGCACATCCTATTCAAACCATATTTCTTACACTTACAATGGTAACAGCATCTTAGAATGGTTTGATACTGTATTTAATTAACAGATATATGTAATGCATTGGAGTGGAGCTGTAGCTTGATGATTACATTCTTGCCTTTTAATTTCAGTGTCCTGGGTTCAAACATCATGACACCAATGAACCAATGCAGTAGGCAAGGTTATTGCAGATGTACCAAGATTCACGCTCTAGGCATGAAACTCACTTGAAGTTTACCGCAAACACTCAGTGAGGAGTTTTCCAAACAACAGTAAAATTGTAACCGCTGTTAGTGGCAATGACAGGATAGATAGAGTAGGTTAGTGTCTACTGTATTACTAGTGCCCATGATACTGGACAATGCTCATTAAACACAAAAAATGCTCACAAGCAAGGCTGGATTTTGTCCCTATAGCAAGAGGACAATTTTAATTTAATAGGGACTAGGTATTATCACAAAAATCAATGGTCACAAAATAACATGATACCATCACGAGAAATCTTGTGCTCATGAGTGAATGTAGGCCAGGGTTGAGTCTGTACCAGCGAGAGAAAGCTTGTGCTCATGAAATGGGTCAATAGCGAGTCTCCATAAAACAGTTATGTTCATTTATCTATTGGGTCAAGTCGCAATCATCTATTATCACAATCATGGGTTATTGTGAAAAGGTAGATACTTTGATTGCAGGTCAAATTCAATTTTGTGAGGTCAACTATAAAGCACAAGTCAACACCTCCACTAATCTTTACAATTTTAATGAAGGTCATCTAATGACCTTAATGTAAAACTGCAAATTGTGAAATCCTCACCAAGGTTAATATCCTTATACAAGATTAATGAATCACTTGAAATAATTAATAAATCTTAAATAAATTAACACATTAATTAATTATTATTTTTCTGCAGAGAATTTTTCAATGCAGAAATTAAAAATGATTCAATAACAATAATTTAAACAATAAAAAATAATTAAGCTAGCAAAGATGAAGCCTGTATTTACGAGCACTAATACCGTATTCTCTTATGGGAATTCACAATCATCACAAATCATCTGTAATTAATTTCTCTTATCTAGGTTCCTGAGCACCAAACCAACATATGTAGGTTAGGCTAATCTGGAAGATTAGGAACCCTAAGCAGTAATACAAAGTACTGGGAAGCAAGTGTTTAGTATTTAGTGTCCACTCATTCTGTTGTGCTGTGCTTAGTTGGCGTTGCCTCTGGTGTAAGGAAGTACCTGTAACGTCATTGCGTATTACTAACATTTTGTTTAATAGAACTAAATCATTTTCATATGAGTTACTCAAAGCTCTATGGTATAACTTCCTTGAATAATTATTACTTTCAAATTTTGGATACTTATAGAAAACTGTCTGTCCTATTATCACTGCCCAAGACTCATAAGGCCCTTTCCAGACTATCAAATATTATTTGACAAAAATCTGTGACATGCCCAAATATGGTCATGTTGACATCGCATCAGTACCATATATAGGCACATCATGATTATATATATGCATACAACAGTATTTTATGGTCATGATGACATCACATCATTACCATATATAGGCACATCATGACTATATATGGGCATACAAAACAGTTTTTTGTCACAGAAAATTTGATAATCTGGACAGAGCTTTAGAATGGAAGAAGTTTGGTCTCCAGCTACTGTAGGTTGGGAGATCCATAAATACTACTCCAGCATCATGTACCTTGCAAAAGTCCTCAGCAAAACTCATCCAAACATCATTAAGTTCTATCACATCTACAAATGGCCAAAACAGAATGTAGCCAAACATTTCATGTGATAAAACAGCACCCTCATATACCCACTACAGCCTTCTTAACCACATTAAAATCTTATGGTTTGTTAGACATAAATATTACATACATACTCCCTGTCTCTTATACACATCTAGATGTGTATAAGAGACAGGGTAATCATTGTGACAAAATATTATAGTTTTTATGTCGCTTTAGTGACAGAATTTAGTGGTGACCTCAAACAGCAAGGGATTGATCAATTACGAAGGAAGGAGCAGTCACACATGGGTTGTATCAGTCAGGGTGTCAACATTCCCAGACGCTGAGCACTACAGATAGCAACAAGGGAAAAATCCTACTGACAAAATGCTCCAAGGCCCCTCCCAGGGTACAGGCCTCTTGAACTTATTTGAGGTTTACAAAATTAACAAACATCTGGTGATGTGAAGACTGCTACGGCCTAGATTTACACCAAAGTATCCTTTGTGTACTAGACAAGTAATAAACCAGTGATTCAGGTGAAAATCCAGAATGCATATTACTAGGAGAAAAACTTCATAAAAATTTGAGTACACATTCTAGTAAAGTTATGCTAAGGGTGCTAACACTTAGGCACGTGGAAACTTAACCATACATACACCTATATTTCATCTGTAATTAATTTGTCTTGTGTATGTATATATTCACAAATGGATTACATTCTTTCTACATATTTACTTTCAGTTTGCATTCAAATAATTTCCTCAAGTGTCAATATTTGGTGCATTGTACATACAAACTAGAGTGTAGTGTAGACAATTCAAGACAGGCAACTCTTTGAATTAAGTCATTGGAATATTTATGAATACTAAATATTTAATCAATCAAACAACAGATGAATGAATGTTGGTCTTAATTATCTTAAAGTGTACTTGTAGTTTGTGAGCTCCACCATTTTAATGGTGCAGTGTTATCAAATTAGGCCTGCAAAAAATAAATACTCAGTGCAAGCATGTTTTTAATCTCTTACTGTGGATGTTTCACAGGTAGAATGGATCTATCAGTAGTTCATAATGTGGGTGATGAAGCGTAATGATCTCACGCATGAAAGGATTTGATCAGAGTAAAGAAGACGCTTAGCCTACCTACACACCGTCTTAAGTTAAAATTAGAAAACAAATGGTAGACAAATATATCAGATAAAAGTGAATGACCGTTGCATAACCGGGAGTAACACATGCTACTTAGACAAACACTTCCCTACTGTAAGTGTCTTTAAAAAACAGAAATCATTAAATGCCGACGTATAAAACTAAACTAACACTTCCCTATAGTTAACCCCTCCCAAGCACTTTACCAGCCATAGCGCTGTGCTTCAGGTACTCATATTTAGAATAATGTCAGTAATGAAATATGATGAATCTATTATATTATGGTACTATGTCTTTGATTGTATATTATTAATATATTTTTTGCTTTTACATTTCACACTTTCACTTTAATGTTTTGTAAATTGACACCTTTTAGGTAGCTTACTGCTGTGTAATAGACATCAGACTATATTTATCTTCCTTTTTTTAAATAAAAATCTGTCCTTTAATTAGATTCATCCTTGTTATTAGATCCATCCATTTTTTAAGACATCTGTATTTTTGTCTTAGTTATGCAAACCTTTAATGTTTCTAATTGTTTGTTTATTGATGGTTTCTTTAAATAAATTCATTAATAGAATTTGAGACAGGAACCTTTTATGTACTATTAATTTTGATAATTCATGATTTTTAATGTAAATGATGAATAGTAATTATTGCATACAAGACATGGACTTACATGGGTATCCTTCCTGCATCCATGCAGCTCAGGTACTTGGGAAGTGAGGCAGAGAAGCGGGCCCAGAGCACATATTGTGGAATCTAACAGAACTGATAAACTGCCTTGGACTTCCATCTGGGTATTCTAAATGAGAAAACAAAAATATACATCATATAGAATATGGTAATGCCAAGTCAAAGCAACACAAGTCATCAATTTTGTATCATGGCTTCACATAAGCCATTGCACAGTACACTCTAACACTTTTCTTTGACATCAATGATTTGGTCATGAGCATGATGATATATCACACCTATATATATGGACAAATCACAGGTATTTGTTGCATAAGGCTCTATTTAGTACTGATTTCACACAAGCAAGAAAAAAAAATGAAATTGTGAAGTATGGCTTCAAATAATTCTCCTTTATGTTTGAATGTCACCATCTCTGGCACCTCAGCTCATTTTAATATCACAATTGTTTTAATTCTATTATTGTTGTTTTTTTCTTTGTTTACTTTTACATTATGTTCTTAAGCCTCAAATTTGTTACAGTAGGTGCAATATAAATACTGATTATTATCTATTAATGAACAAAATGTGTGTTGCTTTGGGATAGGTACCTGGTGTTCTTGTAATTTCTGTCCAACATTACTAAGAGATTCTCCCAATAGGAGAAGATGCGCAGCTACATCAACTGATTCTGTGTTTGGTGGATTGATTCTGATGTTGGTTTTGGATTTACATGCACCACTCAATCTGTTTAGCTTATTCTGCTTAGCAGCTGCAGCCGCAGCGCTTCTACGACGTTGGCTCAACTGTGTGCCTGCCAGACGGTGCCATTCTACTTTGTCTTTGTCAGATAGCTGTTGCCAGAGGGCTCCAAGCATCTGACTGATGGTCCCAAAGTCAGCTGGATCTATAGAATAGAGAATCCAATAAATACACTACAATGTCATCACAACTATCAACAATATATTATGTATTCTTTAGTGATTGACAAACAACATTTTTGCATGAAGAAACATGGTGTTTAGTGAATGTTGAAGTGCACTGGCTGCTAACTACAGTAAATAGAAATGTTTGCAATCTATGATTGTGTGGCGAACCAAACAAACTGTGGCAGGCAAACCTGGGTACATAAACTCATTAAGATGACAGCACCCACCTTCCTATAGATGTGTATCATGGTACAGAATGTACTCTCTTCTGTTCAGTTAGTCTGTGACTAATTGCATTCACAAGTATCATAGAATTTTAAAGATCATACATTTCTAGGAATACATTGGAATGTGGTGTGCTTGATTTCCCTGATCAGTGGTAAATATACCCTATAGGAAAATTCATAAGTAAACTTGAAAATTAACCCGATTGTCCCCGGACTCGATTAATCTTTGCATTAGCACTGACCAACAAAACTTGGAGAAAAAAGGAGAAATTAAATTAGGGACACAAGGCCAAAGCATCTTGGTCATTCCACTATACAAATTGTCATAAAATGGTCACAAATTTGTTATAAGCACAAAAATTTCAATACATTCTTAAATCCACAGAATGTAGTGTTGCTCATAATCTAAAAATATTGTTATTATTACTAGTATTATTATTTTAGTATATGTATTAGTTTTTTCCTATAGATTTTGAGGTATGGTAGCTATATATATTTAAGCTCCTCTGTGATTGGGTATATTAACTAGGTAATGGTTAACCAAGGTCATGCGAACCCTGTTAGACAGACATCTATCAGCATGGCGGTCATAATGACCACAAAAAATAATTAGGTTTTAAGTTATACATGCACATTTACAACATCCTTCTTTATGTTAGGATGAACCAGTGGTAATCAGACACACTGACATTAAATGCTCATTATAAGGATGGTGAAGATTAAGTTCATACTTAGTTTATATTGATTTAGTTGAGGGTTTCCTGGTGTAGTCATTACTTTTACAGCATTTCCTGTCATTGTAAAATAACCATCAATGATGGGCTTATGACTGATGGTATTGGGATGTGATAAGTCATTAACACACTCTTGTAATATATATATTTTCTTTACTATACGGATGGTCTCCTTAATCAACACCATTACTTTATAATGGATATCCTTTATCTGAACTTGAAACCAAGACAATACATTTCTTCTCTAAAATATTGTGCTTAACACTAAGAACAGTCATATATGTCCATGTCATCAATTGATACAGTAAAGGAGGTGTCATTTTAGAGCAAATCAAGAAAATAAAATAAAAAATCATTGCTCAATTTAAAGAACTTCACACAATATTAATTGCTAACACAGTAAAATTATTCAAATTATTTGACAATGTTAACATCTTGTCATCAACCCAAGTGGATCCCTACACTGACATAATTGACTACAAATTCATTTGAATGGACAACAAATGCTTGAACCACAATTAAATCAATTTGTAAACCTTGGTTAATAGTACAATGTCCTAACAGCAGCAGTTCATGGATGAAACCCATTAAAATAATACAGGTGACAAACAGAAGATAAACCATACCCACATAAACAGCACTACCAGACAGTTTCTAAGAAGAATACAGACACATATGCACTAGATACAAACAAAACACACCAGACACTGAGCTGAAAACAAAATACACCAAAAACAAAGAAACAGATTGCACCAAACACACAAGAATTCTAGACACAGAAACAGAATGCACAAGACATACAAGAACACTGGGCACAGAAACAGAATACACCAGACACTAACAAAAACAAGACTTTGATGATTACCTATTTTTGGGTTGTCAATCATAAGTTGTTTTCTATAATGCTTACACCACATTTGATAGGCTGACAGTGGCTTCTTAACCTGAAAAAGATAAATAGGAGATTAATTTATCAAGATGGTACTATAGTCTCGGTTTGGAAAACATCAGAATAATTACATAAAATGTTAACAATTTTGAAAACCATATACAATCTAATCAAGATATAGCCAAATTTAAAGAAAAATTTTTCACTGTTGAAAATTTTAAATAGGAAAAATAATTATCAATAATACTACTAATAATAATTTATATACCACCTTTTGCTAAAATATATAAGGTGCTTGAAAGATATGGAGCAGTGGAAGATACATAGTAGACCTACTTGTAAATTTTGTAAACATACAATAAAATAAATAGCATTTAAAAATGTATTATGTTGAATTATCATAAACTGTACTCGTACCTTTTCTTTACCCTTTGGATCCCCTTTTGGCGACAAGCTTTTTTTTGCTTTGGCTTGAATTTTCTTCAGTTCTTTTTTCACTTCAGTTTCATTCATAATTTTACTTCCAGTATTGATACTACTAGTACTAGGTCTTGGCAAGTCACTTTGCCCTCCTTTGATACATTCGGGCAACATCAAATTGGGTGGCGGTCCATACAACTTCGATTTTATTTTGACTCCTCCAGATGTTTTAATACCGGTGCTTTTGAATTTTGGTCTTTTTGGCTTATTGTGTTTGTGGCGTTTCTTCTCTCTGTGTCTTTCACGTCTTTCCTTTTCTTTCTTCCTTCGGAGTTTTTCAAGTTTTCTCAATTTGTTATGGCTCTTACTTTTCACTTCTTTGGGAATTTCTGGTTCAGGTGGATTTGCTAGATCCAATGGCATATCAATGTCTTTTAAAATTGATTCATCAATGGTTAGTTCAATGGGTTCAGGGGGTGTTGGTAACTTTGCACTTTTTTCCTTGCTTTTCTTTTTCTTCTTTTTGTGACTGCTGGATGAGTGTTTGTGGTCTTTAGTGTTCTGTTCTGCTGTTTTCTTTTGTAAGTTACAACCAAATGACAGCCTTGACTTATCATCTGTGCTGGTTGTTGCGGATGATTTAGACTTTTTACCTTTACCTTTCTCCGCAGGATCAGAGATGAGTTCATAGTTGACTTTATTCAATTCCTGAATCTGTTGTGAATCAAAATCTAAGTCTGCATGTTTCTTTTTCTTCCTTGCTGGAGGTGAGTCCAATTCTTGTCCTGAAAATTCACTAATAGATAGTTCACCATCATGCCGAACTATTGTCGTTTTAATTGGCTCTTTCTTTTTCTTTCCATGTTTGTGTTTAGAAGAAGAGCTAACTACTTCATCTGGAAAGTCACAGCTGGGTTTTTCTGAATGTTTTGGTGATAAAATCAGTTTTAATCTGATGCCACTTTCAGGATCCTTCTTAATTGTCACACTGCGGTCTGGAGATGTATCACTAATTGGATGAGGTTTGTGCATCTTTTTAGAAGCTCTTTTAGCAATGGTCATCTGACTTTCTGGGCATTGTAGGATGGGTTTAATTCTAATTTTTGGTGGCATGCGTTCCCTGTCTGAGGAACTATCCTGTCCTGTAGAATTACCATCACTTCCGCCTTTACTGCGTTTCTTTTTTGTGCTGCTTAACTGTGTTGCAGTTTCTGTGGTACCAACTTCTCCAGTTGGCAATTCAGCTTCCTTTTTGTTGGACGGATCTAATAGTTTTACAGACTTGCGGCGATTTCTTGCAGGTCTTGTTAATAAATTTGATTCAAACTGAAAGCTTTCATCTGAGGGAAATAGACCAATGAAAGCATTAGAAATAAAATTGTTACATCAACCGTTACATAATAAACACAAGTTTTATTTAAGGAATTAGGAACAAAAAACATTCACTTTATTAAGGTCTAGAGATATTTTATTTGTTCACCGCATGAAAACTATAAAATACCTACAGCACCAACATATTATCTGTACACTTGCCTCTGGGTAGACGTGCAATTCTTCTGAACGCTAGTCACACACACATTTTCCTTTTATGTTAAATGATTTTATCCTTATAACACTATGAATATTTTTCTGATGGCATGGTTTTTTTCATTATCAAGAACATGGTAATTATACATTTCTTACCTGCTGAAGAGCCTTCTTCAATGGGCTCTTCTTTTACTTTCTTCAATTCAACCTCTGTTGCATCTGATGTGCGTTTTCGTTTATTTCGTGTAGACATGTTCTTGGGGTACTGCTCTGAATCTGTCTGTTGAGAAACAATACACTTTTAAATGATCTTTGTCATCAGATCTTTTATTTAGTACCACAAATGAAGCTACACTAAAACTAGGTATTGTATTTTATTTTATTGGCAGAACAAAAACAAACAAGAAGCGACCGCTCACCAAGTCCACGAGTTCTTTCATGCTTAAATACAGTACAGGCGCAAGTTATTATATTGGCTTATACGCTGCTACAGCGTATCACCTATTGTTGTTGTTAAGGTTTTTTCTTCTTTATTTATTTCTCCTTTTTTATTCTTTCTCCCATTCTCCACTATTCTCAAAAACGGCACAGGTTCTATCCTTGTTATTTGGCTAGCAGATAGATCTATATCTGAAGTTTTGCAGGTGACGTTTTGTGTGACGTCATCTACGCGCCATTTTGTGAAATGTTATGATTGATCATAATTTCCTCACCAAGAGGCATTTTTTAATGAAACTTGACATTGGTATACTTCATATGAAGGGTCAACTTTTTGTACTTATCAACGTTTGTGCACGCATCATAGCGTGCCCCTATGCATGCGTTAGAATGTCATAATGCTTAAAATCACTTTTTGACTAAATTAGAGCACGTTTCAGGACATTTAGATCATTTATAAATTTTTCATTCAGCGCACACGCATTATCACACGCATTGCATGTACGGAAGCTATGAATTACGTTTTTTTTACATACTGTACTTGGGTTTCAGACACTGTTATTCACAAATTTCCATTCTTTTTTCATTTTAGGGCCAATAACAATCCCGTACTTGTGTATCAAACATACAAATCAGCGCGCACGTTTGTGTCGACATACAGTGAAAATATGCCAAAATCATGCCTAATTTTAATCAGTTATACCTCCTTAGGATGCGTGGTGACTGCCACTTTTTATTACATATTTTGAAAGCACATGAGTTGTAGATATGATTTTATAGATCACAATGGCTAATCGGATATTGTTACGTCATCATATTGCAATCTGAATTCAAAAAACCAAATTTTTATCTATGACTTCATTTGTTAAAATACTTATTTGAGCGTATCTCGCTTATCCCTGATCGATTGTCTCCCAACTTTGAGTATGTTACATAGCTGGAACAATTCTCTTTCATATGTGACTTCCTTTTACATTTTGATGACGTCATCATGGTCAAAATAAATGTTTTTTCTGACCCCCTCATCTTTCTTTCTTCAAAACTTTGATGACCCCATATCGTCCTAACCAGTCACCATTTCTGAATCATATTCAGTGGGCATACACTTCAGGTCAAGGTTGAATGTCATGTACTTTAATTTTCTGTGCGTGCGTCATAGCGTGCGTGTACCTCAAAGTTTAAATATGCTAAAAATCATGCCTATTTTTAATCAGTTATACTGTAGCTCCTTAGCTATTGGAAAAAAAAAAATTGAATACCAAGACGCGTTTCGAACTCATGACCTTATGTTCTTTACAAAACATCCTTAACTGACCGTGCCATTCATGCAACGTGCCCTATTAGTGATAATGGCAATAATGTACAGTAATTTTAAAATAATTTTTATGTTTATTTGTACAAGAAAAAAAAAACATTATTTAGAATGGTTATTTGTACAAAATTAAAATACTTAAAATTGAAAAAAAAAAAATTCTAAAAATTGGAAAAAAAAATTGAATACCAAGACGCGTTTCGAACTCACTACCTTGAGTTCTTTAGAATATATCCTTAACCAAAGGTTGCGAGTTCGAATTGTGCCTCGGTGTTAATTTTCTGCATTAATGGATGAGAACTGTTTGACAAAATGAAAAAAAAAATAAATACACAATTTAAACTTGCTAAATACTGTTTTGTTTTGTAGGTGTAGGGGGAACCCTGGTGAAAAACATTTGTTGTAAATCACCTTCAGTCTATATATACAAAATTTCCTGCATGTCCGTTCAAAGCTGGCAACACTGGACGCTTTTAAAGCTTTAGTAATACAGTAGGAACAAGAACAGCAATGAGGCTCTGGGTCAGCACTTTGCGCAGACCAATTATTTAATCAAATATAAAAAGTAATAAAATTATGTTGAAAGTAAATATTATAAATAAAGTAGGCCTACAAACTCACTCAGTTGATGGCCTAAAAGAATGAAAGAAAAAAAAAATACTACCTATGCTATAGTATACATAGGGATAGGCCTATGCTTGAAAACTGCGGATAATTTATACTGTACTGTCCAATTCATGATTCAGATAATGAGTAGGGTAGGGGATGCTATCACCAAAATCACTGACAACTGCCAGCTGGCGACGTCACCAAATTACTCACCGGTACACGCAAAAACAAAAGTTCACAAGTATAAAAAGTACGTACGTACGAGTCTCTGTTTCAATTATTGTACATGCTTAAAAACTTTTTAATAAGAAGGCCTATCATCTTTTACTTTTAATATATTGGTAAAGTAGATAAAAGCCGAATATGCTAACGTACATAGATTGGATGGGCACAAGCGGTTCACATCTTTTCTGTGTATGTTAGATGGGCTCACAAAAGTCTAGGCTAGGCTTGGCCTAGGCTAGGCCAAGCTAGCTAGCTAGCTGCAAAGTATAAACATAGGAATCAGTTTCTTTCCATTAAATCTACACTTCACACATGATATTTTCTATTAACAACAAAAGCACTGATAAAGCCTAACTTTTTGTCGGCTTACCTTTACCAACAAATGTCTATTTCTGGACAGGTAGGCCTACTAAAAGATAAGTTAACAATGAAGTTTGGATCATCGCGCGGGCTCAGCCAACATGAACTCCGCCATTGAAGATTAGCATCACAGAGCTGGGGGCTGATGGGAAAAATGAAGCGCCACCAATGGTCATGATGTACACGCGCAAAAATAAAAAAAAACACAAAAACAGCAGCGAGCAAAACCAGCAAAAGAATAGGCTATGTTTCCAGTCATGTTCGTTTTTTTTTTTTTTTTTTTTTTTTTGGTACACCGCAGACTTTCGTTTAATTTTGGTTTTTATGTAGTCGTTCTTCGCTGGTTTAAGTCTTACATTTCATCTCGGTTTCAAGTACAATACAGTAGTTAATATTCTGTTTCCACCTCTGAACCCATTCAACTTCGATAGTGTGTAATCTATTTTACTTATTACCACATATGGCATATTATTAAAATTACAAAATGAAGTGACAAAACGGAGGAATTCGAGATGAAGTCATACTTATTTGCCCATGTGAAACTCGAAACATGTCTTATAAGAAAGTGGTATACGTTCCAAATATTATGTCATATCATTTATTTTGCCAAACATTCCACTGGGACCGCTATAGCCCTTCTCTTTAAACTTTTTCTTTTAATTATGGTATAATTTTGAATGATAATGACGATAATAGTAATGATGATGATGATGATGATGATGAGAATGATGATGTTGATGATGACAAGAACGATGATTTGACTAGTAACAACCAAGGCCTGAAATTCACTTCTTAGGTAAGAGGTTACTTTATTATTATGCCATGGAATGCTTGCACATACGGCTGAAAAGTAGCAACATCATCAATGATGCAAAGGTGGGCTGAGGTAACTGGTTAAGAATGCTCAGCGTGTGGTTTGACCACAATATGGAAACGGCTGCGCCAAACCGCGTTCACTAGAGATGAGGATTACGATGATGATGATGATGATGATGATGCTGATGATGATGATTATGACGATGATGATGATGCTGCTGCTGATGATGATGATGACGACGATGATGATGATGATGATGCTGATGTTGATGATGATGATAATAATTATAATATCAATAATAATAATAATAATAATAATAATAATAATAATAATAATAATAATAATAATAATAAATATTTAGTAGCACCTAATGTTTACAAACCTCGAGGCGCTTAATAACAAACATAATAACAAAAATGAAAACAAAATGAAAATTAGCAGCGATGCAGGAGATAGTGACATTCAAGTGGTCTCACCCACCGATGCCAAATTAACGTCGCTGTCTCAATGAGATTATGATTATGATGTACTTTTTGTAGTGATTCTTGCTGTTAAAGACACGGATTCTGTTGGTAGAATATTTTTTTTAATATTTAAAGAAATCTTCATAATTCTAATAGTATTGCATCTTGTATATACAACCCAGCTGGTTAGCAATGTAGGTCTACGGCGCCTACACTGTTTTTAAAGTCAATTAATTCCATATATTTTCCAAAAACTGTGGCGCAACGCCAATGCAAATGGCCCCGGAAGGCTCTAATAAGCTCCTAAAACAACTCTAACTGACATTACAAATGCACCAAAAACGAATAAAATTTTAAAAATGAATTCGTAAATGATTGATTTGTAATTACGGAGCTTCAATATGAGGTCAAACATTAAGCATGATTAATAATAATAATAATAGGATGACGATGATTTTTTTTTCTTTATAAAGTCTCTTCTGGGCAAATGGGTTACTTTTTTTATTTATTATATGTTAATGTTGCACCTACGGCTGAAAATCATGAGCCACTTCACTGCTCCGTCCAAAGATGCAAGATGCGGGGGTGGGGGGGTAACTAAGCATGGCCAGCCGAGAATGGCCGAGTCCTGACCACAATGGAAACTGCTTCGCCAAAAACCGCCTTTCCCAGAGATGATGATTACAATGATGACGATGATGATGATGATAATGATGATGATGATGATGATAATGATGTACTTTTTGTACAACATGCTTGCTATTTAAAAAAACGGATTTTATTAGTACAACCTACAATCATTTTTATAGGCCTATTTGAAAAAATCTTAATAATTCTAATATAAGTAAGCCCTGCATCTACAACCCAACTGTAAGTTGTAAAGTAGGCCAATGTAAAACAGTCGCCTAAATTTTTAAAGTCTATTTCCATATATTTTCCAAAACAGTGGCGTAATGCCAATGTAAAGGGGCCCCGGAATTCTCCTACTAAAACAATAACTCTAATTGACATTACAAATACACGATTCAAATTTTTAAAATGTAATGGTTTATATGTATGTGACGGAGCTACAATTAGGTCAAATGATTAAGCAACTTTTTCAAAAATAGGCCAAATGTATTACAATAAGCGTGATGCAGAGAAATTGTGTAATTTGTGTGCGGAAATAAATGTTGATTATATGGTTTAATAGAGACATAATTTACAATGCATGCAGTCTTTTATCCTCAGTAGGCCTATTCATAAACAGGATGCACTCAAATGCAGTCCCCTCAGCCACTTTCGTGAGCGAATACTTTACTGAAATGCAGGGGCTACACTTTCTCACCCGGGCCCATGACTGGTCGTTACATGACTGACAAAATAGGAGGAAATATAGAAACCAATAGTCAGTTAATATAGGACCGAACCAACGACCTTATGCCTGTTTTCCGCTAGGCGAATTTATTCGCGCGAATCAAATCATCGGTACGCTTTCTGGTTGCGCATTTTTTCGCTTCGCAAAAACTCCGATGGAATGTGAACGTCATAATCATGAAAAACCGATAAAATCGTTGCTACTACAACGATTTCAATGTTTTTCCATGATTATGACGTCATCTGATTTATCAAATATGTTGTTATCGCATTACTGATAAATCGTTATCGAATCGTTCTAGTGTAAAAAATTCTCTTATTTCTTTTATTTTTTATATGCACAATTGCTTTTTAGCTTTTTTATCGTTATCGTTATCGTTGAAGTATAAACAGGCCATAAGCCGGTTTTCCACTAGGCGAATTTATTCGCGCGAATCGACTGGCAATGCAAAATCATAATATACATTATATATCTTAGGTGACAGATTTGGAGGAATCCCCTCTTAACCCTGGGTACTTATTTTTCAATCAATTTATGGAAATACAATCGGTGGTCAATTCATCGACCAGTACACACCTGTTGCTCTAATGTAGAACCGGCGTATTTGACTTCCGAGTTTGAATCCAAGTGATTCTTTCCCATGCCAGTCGGTCTGTCGGCAACACCTCGGAATTATATTCATTTACTGTAATCGTTCTGATGCTCCTAATTGTCGAATTTATTTGCATATTGAACTTTTTTAACCAAATGCATGCAGCTAGTTGTACGGCAGTGATATACTGCCAACCAACAAAAAGATACAAAACCCCAAAAATATAGGCCTAATACACCTTTAGACATGTTCAAAGGTACGATTCGAAGGAGAGTGATTTTATGTCGATTTGCGTAAGAAAAAAAATATCATGCATTCCAGAGCCTAAATAAAATGCACGGAGATTTCCAAAGTATTTATAAATCACTATTAAGCCTACAAAACATAAGCCTACTTCCTTATTTTACTTTGGGTCGCTGTCTAAAAAACATCATAACTCTCTCAATATACTGTGGTTTACGATGTAGATGTTTACATCATGTTTACGTTTAGTACGCACTATATGTCACATGACCAGTAATAGCTGGAGGCGCCGATTCGGTCTATTAGTCAAAGTTTCATAACGACAAACGGACCAAACCTATATGGAACACCTTACGACACACTTCAAACTATATTACGTTTAGCAATTCGTTAAATAAATTCAAAACCACAATAAAACAAGTGCCTGTGGAAAATATTATTGCCTACATAACCAACCTTAAAAAAATATTATGAAGGATTCTTGAACCATGAGACTGAAAACGTATTTATTTTTTATCTTATATGTTTAATTTCGTAAAAAAAGATACTAGAACCATGAGAAGTAAAGCATATTACAAAGCAATTTCCGAAGCATGTCGTTAGTTGTCCTTCTGTGTGTTTACAAAATTTTTATATTTTGTTCAAAGGGCCTTCATAGACAGACCAATCAGTGGTCTCTTGTTGATTCTCGACCATAGTAGATGTTTGCTTTTTGTTATGTTTTTGTTTTTGTTTTTGTTTTTTTGTATCATTGTTATTTTCGTCAATTATGGTCAATAAATATATCTTTGAATTAAAATTGAACCTTTGTAACAGTAGCCACAGCCGCCGGTTCCTCTGATACTAATTTGATTAGTCTTGACTGATTGGTTTGATTTAGGCCCAGTCCTTAGGATCCTGTAGGAGGGGGTAAAGTATATTAACAGCATCTCATAAAACCGATGCGATATGGAAACAACTGTGTCTCAGAAATTCAAGCAGATATTCCTGTAATATTTAATAGGTCTATTCTAAAGACTCGGTATAAGAGGGTATCACCGTGGTTGAAGTATCCCATAAAATATGTATATGAGGATCGGAATACAGCCTTAAAATAATAATAGTTTTGGGTTTTAAATTTACTTGAATTGCTGTAAACCAAATTTCATTTCATTCAGTCACTATGAATATATCCTGGGAGTAAGTAGGTCTGTTTAGTTTTCCTTAATATCTATGATTTTATCAATATCTTACATTAACCCGTAGACCTACACGTCCTGCTGTCACGGACAAGACACGCCTTCACATCACTTATTCATTCACTCACTCTTCTATCTAAAAACTTGACTATCAATTAACAAACATACACAAAAATGTTAATCTATAATTCCTTTATTGATTTCAGTATGTACAAAAATACAATAATCCTTAGATTCAGATTCTTCAACAAAGTTCACGAGTTTGGTAGTGGAAGAAGTACAAAACTTTCTGTCTACATAACAAATCCAGTTGATACGAGACAGTTGCAGAGAAACTTTTATTTAGATCTTCGCGGAGCCAGTCCGATTAAGATCGTAATTATTAGCAACACTTAATCATAATATAACCCATTTATATAAAAACCATGCCAACTTTGTTGTAGTGCTGACTTCGAAAGCCTTGAATGATTAAAAAATATTGGGATGTAAACGAAATACAAATTATAGTATATAGAAAGTATAATGAAAGTATAACATGGACTGATGCATTAAAAGGTGTTGGATCAATTTAAAACAACCAAATCAGCAAGAGGAAAGAGAATGTAAAAGTTAAACGGAATAATTAAGTATACAAATATTAGTTCTAACAATATTGCAAAAATGAATAGAAGCACAAATAATAATGAGGAAATGAAAAATGAATGAAACATGAAAACATTTGACTAAATCATATCAAATTAGGTTTAATTTAAAAATATTATTCCCAAAACTGCCTTAGTTAAATTGAGGCATAGCATTATGTCACAGATCAACTGCATTAAACAAAAATGATGAAAAGTAATAAAAACTAACACTTTGGTATTCTATTGTTTTCTCTGTGCCTATTATTTGTTTTGAGTTTTGAAGTCGTCCACAAATTATCAACCTTGACAAGAACTACTGAAACTAATTTGTTGTTCCTGCTTCTTTACATTGATGATAAACACTAAGAGAAGACGCCCTATGCTTTATCCACTGGCGTCCACAACAGTTTCTGTAGTTCATCAATCTACAATTTTGGGTTTCATTTGTCTGGAGCAAGAGCAGTCTCTTCGAATGTCATTTTGACTCAATGGTTACATTAATGTTTTTATTTAAATTCAATTTATTTTATTCAACTTCTCTATAGCAGCAAAATTGCTGAACTGCAAGAGATTACAATGAGAGATGCATTTGCTGTCATCAACATAAATAGGCCTATGGTTATAAACGCCTATTCATTTTGTGTTTAGTACAATATTCGACTGAATAAATGAATATTAGGCATATATAATAGATTTTTTTTTACTTTAAACTTTCCTCATTTAAATGAATAAAGTGAAATGGGGGGAAATGAACATGACGTCATTCATAAAAGATGGTTTTATTCTTTTGAACACGCAGTTTATTAATTTAATATTAAGACAATATTTTGTTCAGAAAACCTGTAGTTTAAGTGTTCGTCTACCTGTAACCTTCTAAAATGGAGGTATAAACTGTGGCAAACGTTGAATATAATAGGCTACCTCAAAGCTTATACAGTTTATGAACATATAAGTTTATGAACTGCACATTTTTTTTTGTCTAATTTTCTGTGTACCAAATGTTTGAACTAAAATACATGATGCTGCATAGCTGCCTACGCACCCAACTATAAGCTCATGAACTTTTGAATGAAATTATTTATAATCGTTGCGGGCAATAACCCGACATGATAGTCGGGAAAGACTTGGCGTTTTACGTTTCTCAATCTACTTCCTATCCTAGCATCCGCCAAGGTATTGTGTTACCCCAGCTAGGATGCACTTACCAATAAAATCGACAAAAAAACATTAACCATCATAATACTATTTTTAATAGTTTCAATTTATCTGGGATAAAGGGAGAATCTTGTAAAATCATTTTTGCAGTTCTAAAACATTAGGAATTTATTTTTGGATTTTTTATAAATGGAATACAATGTTATTTGGATTTAATTGAGTCTATTATATTTTCAACATTCTGGTAATTTGAACTCAATAATGATAATATCATTTAGGAAAATATGATTCATTCTAAATATCCGATCATCGTAAATTATTTATTTTAATTACCTTTAAGTTATTTCAACCTTGTGAAACGCCCCATATAGGGTTTTAATATTTCGGATCAAAAAGATAATCGCAAAATATTCCAATTAATATTTTCGATACGTCATGTGATAGTACCAGCCTATCATCATCAACCCCACAATACAATCAATACAAATCTTGATACAAAATACACAAATTATTTGTCGGCTGGAAATGCTCAGTTTAGACGGACACTAATCCCACGTACAAAAAAATAATTATATATGAAAACTGTTAAGTATGCAAAAACAGCAAATTTAAATATATCTGCCACATGTTTGAAAATAGAAAGTTCATCTCTGGTATACTTTTCAATTTATGTCATGCCTGTTCAGACTTCTGTTGTGTTAAGACAATTGCTTTCGTGTAATAAGTTCAATGAAATTACATATTGTCATTATTGTACACTACTGCTATTTGAATGTCGACACGGCAAAAAGTCAACTGAACTTTACACTCATCTTAATTACTAATACCACTTGCAGGAGAATACCAAACAGGGCTTGATCTTCCACTCGTGACGCCATTATCATCGCTATAGTAACCATTCGCACTCTCGCAAGTACTTCCAGCGCTTCCGCATAAACTTTCAGCGTCGCATCCTCCTGGAGTTTGACCGCACTCACCAAATCCACTTGTACTTTCAGAGGAACTTCGTTCTCGTTTATGCCTTGTAACACGACTCACGTATGTTCTTCCAGCTGCATTTACACTGTATTTACCCCCTGTTTTTGGTTTGACATCCTCTGTGGTTTCAGAAGTACTTCGTCCTATTCTGCCCACACAAACTTTACGTACTTTTTCTTCCGGGTGCTCCTCTTGGTCGTCTCGCAACTGAATCAAAAAGTCTATATATCTTATTGCAAGACGTAAAATTTCATTTTTGCTCATCTTCTTGTCTACTGGATGTGTCGGTAGGAGTTTTCTAAGTTCAGTAAAAGCCGAGTTTACATTTTGTTGCCGCCACCTTTCACGACTGTTTGTAAATACACGACGTTGGACTTTAGGCGGGGACGGACGGTCTAATAAGCCTTTCGGGAAAGAACGACCAGCGAAAAAAACTCCAGTTTTCTGTGAATTATTGGCAGGAAATAAAGGACTTTGAAGTTCAGAGAAACCATGTGCCGTCATTGTTGGATTAACAACAGCGGGGTGTGACCAAGTTACTTGCGGGCTTACCGGTGCCTTTTGAAAATCTGGATGCTCTATTGGGACAGAAAGTAAATTTGCGATAGAGCCTACTCGTGATCCATTCTTAACTGACAATTTCTGATCTAATGCTGTATTGTATTTTTCACATTGAAGTTTAGTCAATACATTGTTATTTATGTTCATATTGATAAAATCACTTTGATCCAAAGCTGCTTCAATAAGTTGCTTTGTCGTTGCTTTACTATCAAATGGTGATAGTGAAGTATTTGAAACATTGTCCAGACTGTCAGGGCTCAAGAGTTCCCTGCCAGGGGAAATTGTCCCTGCTTCTTGCACTGCGCTTGGTGACTTACACAGCATTTTTACACTAGTGTGAAGGCTCAGATTTACAGGCTGATTTTGCTCCCTCGGAATTTCAAGACATGGTACAGCTACTGATGGTCCTTGTGCGACATCAGGCGATCCAAGACCCATACTGATAACAAACGGAAGTGGTGCTACACAGGCCGCCAGCGTAAACAATTTTCAATGGAGTAATATTCCCTGTAGAAAAAGAAAATAAAAATATTTACTTTTTTAAAAGATAAATTAGCATTAATTGATATACATAATAATTGGTAAATATCATTCCCGATTAAATGTTATGCCAGACAACTTGATAACGCCCTCTCACATACATTAAAATTTCTACAAATGTTCGTCTGAAACCTGTCCCGCTTTCGCTTATCTAACGGAAGCCACCGTTGTAATCAAATCAAATAACTTCTTGCAATTTCGTTGTTTTATGTAAACTTTGCAATATTTCATATCCTCGACACCCCCTTGGGCCAACCTGGTGCGAAAGCCAGTGATAACCATCAACCCTATGAAGCTACTACTTCACCAAACCCCAATGGTCTAGAGACTGTTAGGAACTTTTCAATCAGCATGGAAATCTGTGCTTTCCCGTCGTTCACTGAGTACGTGGATATATCATGGGTATTACTAGAGCAATCATATACATATTATTATTATTATTATTATTATTATATATGTATATATATATATATAATATATATGTTTATAATATATATATGTATATATATATAAGTATGTATATATACATATATAT